AAAATGGTTTCCTCTCCCCTGATCTCTGCAGACTCTGGTTATTAAAACATGTTTCCCTCTTCCGCTGAGATGAGAGGAGGTGAGCTGACGACCCCCTCAACACGTGCTGGGACCACTTTCTCAGCCATTAAATCCTGACATAGAAGGAGGAATTTATACAGGAATAGATCAAATTAATTCATTGATTTACTTGACAGATTAATTGTTTGGTTCAGTACTATTTAGGTATTTTATAGAGACATTATTTATTCATGCAACCCAGACTTGTATCAGAAAAATTTAACTTGGATTTAATTTTTACAATCTATGGAAATTGTCTTATGTTAGTTTAATTCTACCTCACAAAATATTTAGCTAAAGCACTTTATATAAACTCAATTTCACCTAAATTAGTTGGCATCTTTGTAAAGACAGTGTGTCACTTTTCAACACAACCAAAAGTAAAACATAGACAAAAACTGAGAGCAATAGCTACAACTGTGGAAGACAATGACAAATTAAATAAATGAAATAAACAAGGACTTAATATACAGTTAAATTAGATGAGAAAATGTTTGTGAAAGACAGCTGAACTTTAAATTAATCCTCTGAATTAAAACCAGATCATGAGTATAAATCTTTAAATTCTCTTAAAAATACTTGGAGAACGATGAAATATGTCTTTACTAGATTAAACTCATAAATCACAAGAACCAACTCGTAGATTTCAAGATAACGTCACAAGAATATGATAAATATAAGAGACAGTTGTCATGTTATTTTAAGGGGAAGATCAGGTGAGCAGTAAGCAGCCTGCAGTGAAACAAAATGTTGATCATTTCAGAGAGTTGTACTTGAACAGAATGAGTTTCAGAGAAAACTGAGAAGTATTTTAGCTCATCAGTCCCACACTTTCATAGAGATCAGGATTCTAATTCATGGCGAAGAGAGGCAGAATAACAGGCAAACACTTTAGTCCTCAGCTGGTGAGTTTAACTTCACATGCTGATCCAGGTTCCTCATTGTAGTGAGGGCAGCAGGTCACTCCTCTGAAATCACACTTGACTGTAAGTTATTTTAGTCGACATGAAGATCAGTGATTGTCTGTAATGAGGATTTCTTTCGAATAAAGCTGCAATGTGACTCTTCTAGGTTTATGATTTTTTTTTTCTCAAAAGGTTTCGACTTAAATTTCATATGAAGAGTTTATTCTAAAAACTTAAGTTTATTTGAAGTTTAAAATTCTTACCTCAGAAATCTTGTAGATTTTAAATTCATCAAAATTCACATAAAGATCAGCTAAAGCCTATAATTATGAGTGCTTTCTGATGAGATGAAAATTTTTACTCTCATTAGTTTAAATTTTTATTATCTTGTAAATTCGAGTTTTTTTTCCTGTAAATTGATGATTTTTTTTCTCATTTATTTACAACTTTTATCTCATAAATTTACAAGTTTATTTGTGTAAATTAAAAGTTTGCAACTTTGTCTTTGTAGATTTACACCCTAAACCTGTCTAAGTTAAAGGTAATTGAAAAATTAAAAAATAAGCCTACACAATGATGAACAACTTAGATTATGACCTTTTTCTCATGAAATTAAGACTTGACTCTCATATGTTTGTTCTCATCAGTTTACAACTTTCCCCTGGTTAGAAAGTTTGACTTACGAAAGTTTGACTCTGTAAATTTATGCATTTATTCCTGTAAGTTAAACAACTTCATTCTCATAGATTTAAAGCTTGATTGTGTTAAATTTATGATTATTTTGCCATTCATATATAAATTTATCAAAAACTTTATGAAGTTTACCTTGTAAATGTCAAGATCATTAGTGTACAGTTACAACTTTTCCCCACATTTTTACAGCTTGAATTTCCAACCCAGAGTTCACCCTCCTAAGTTTAGGACTTAATTCTCAAATACCAAAACCTTATTTTGACATTCTTTGATGTGGCTCAAACCCTCTATTAGATAATCTGAGATATGAATTCCTCTGTGATTATTTTCCTCCATCCTCTTGAAACGGTCTGAGAATTAAAAAGCGATTGGTTGAGCGAGAAGACGCACAAGCAAACATGGAGGAGTGAACGGTCTGAGGACAGCTGAGGGTGGAAACAGCAGAGAAAGGAAACATTCATGGCTGTATGTGTGCACTTCAGTCAGCGTTCAGTCAGTCCTGTTGGCCGACTCTGCGTGCACCATCACCTCATCACTCAGCGGCCTCCACCCAACCCCCCAGACCCCCCTCTCCAAACTCCCCCCTCCACAACCTGCAGCCACATTAGGCCTGCATCAGCCCGAGCTGCCACCTCATATCTCAGCGCAGCTTCGGCTTCATTCATGAGTGCTGGACACAGATTTAACACACGGCCCGTCGCGGGGATGACTGGTGGCCTGGCAGGCTGATGGACGGCCTGTCTGTCCGCTGGAGCTGTTCTGCTGTCTGACTGCACACGTTTTAACCGTGCTGAGGTCATGGCAGACAGACGGGCTGCTGGGAAATATTCCTGGAAGCTGTTTGAATGAGTTGAATGGTTTAATAAATTTCAAGTGTTTGAAGAAGAAGTATAAATGCTGCCACATATGAAGATGAATCACATGAGATATAATGAAAATACAAAGACAGATCACGTCAATCTTGGAGCTCATGCATCAATAGGAAATGTAAACTGATCAATCTTATAGCTGGACAGATCTGTTCAGTTAATATTTCTAAGAGTGAAAATATTTTTCTGTTATATTTTACCTCAGATATCAAACCTAAAAAGTACAATCAGATGTGGATGTGACTGCAAATGTTCCTTTCGAGACAAGAAAAGTAAAAATCAATGTTTTTACAGACTCATATCTTCTAAACATTTCATGGGCGGCTCTGTCACTATTTCCGTGTTAAAGTATCTGTGCAAACTGTTGAACAGAGGAGTAGCTCTGCTGTAACAGGAGGCCCTCACTGCCTACACCACCTATCTGCAGTATGGGTCACACACACATTTTTAGCTCGTATCACATTCAGCGGCTGCAGACGCACACCACCAAAACAAGCCAGAAGCTCAGAGCAGATTGTATCCTGCAGTATATAATGACATGTAGACCATATGATGACAGACTATAGCAGAGGAGACCACATACAGTAACACGACCTCCTGCCCATCAAGACGTAATGCAAAGAGCGGCTGTAAAATAACACATTATAGAGTGGATGGTCGGAGGAGCTGCATGTGTAGGCTCCAACACTCGCAGGCTGATTTCAGGGAAATATCCTCCATCCTAGAGGAAGTGAGGTGTGTTTCTAATCCTATTTATGCAAAATAAATAGGAAATAAGAGTCAGTAGAATATAAAGAAAGACGCACAACCCACAAAAGTCACAAACTGTTGGCAGAAAGTTCAGGTTGAAGAGAGATTGCCATATATGGGTGCAGATTTGCTGCAGGATCTTTCATAGGGACAGGACCAGGGACATTAGGAAGTAATCAGTGAGTTTCTCCTCAGATCCAAAGTCATTAGGGACTGAATTTATCCACAAAATGTCCTTGTTCAATGGGGCACTACTTCTGGGAGGGGCTTTTAGCACTGATGAGATCTAAACAAGTTTACCGATGCATTCATTTAGACATCTTAAGAAAGTATGAAAATCATTTAAAAACACTTTACAGCAGATAACCTCCTGACCGACTGACAGTGTCGACACTTGGATCCTGTTTTTTGTTAATTATTTTTCCCCTGAATTGTAGAAAAAGAGTCTTTAAAGTAAAGTTGGACCATCTGGATGTTGCTGGGTCATGTCCTGAGGCAAAAAAATCAAGTTTTATTTGTATGGATCAAATTGTGAAACAAAGGTGTCCTTGAACATGACAAATTTAAAAACTCCTTCACATTAGCAAAACAATTGTTGAAATACAAAAGCCGATGTACTCAGGTTGGTATATCGAGAACACCGAGTATTGTTGAAAGCTGCTAAACTACTTTAAAATCATCATCATTCAGGTTTTATTTTGTAAAGTATATAACCAAGAACTCTGTGCACAAATAGTCGGACGAATGATCACCTAAATAAATGGGTCCAATCTCTGCAGTCGACCTGTAACCAACTACATCAAACTGAGGACATGTTTGAGAACCTGTGAACCAAAGCTAACTGGGATTGTAACAGCAGGTAAAACTCTGTATAGAAATCACTGCTGATTCCGGCCCTCATATCTCTGGATCGTGGCCATGCAGCGCTGCAGCAGCTCAGGCCTCTTATCTGATTCTCAAATACAAACAGCTGAGCGCTGCAGCAGGTGGCAGGAGGCCTCTACGCTCTGAACATAAAGCAGGGCATGAGTTCAAATAGCAGAGAGCACAAATCTGAGGAGTTTACGAAAAGGCAAGACTGCCATCTCATGGCCTAAAGGTAGATTGTTCAGTGCTTTGGCATGGTGCAATGTGGATCTAGGAACATTTATCCACCTTGAAAAATAGTTGAGGTTTAAATTACCTGGCACTGTTGAAAAGTTTAAAAACTCCAGAGAAAGTCAGGAATTGAAACTGAGGAGATGAGTTAAGTTGGAGAACTCTTTTGAGTGTAAATTTCTGTTTTTGAGGAAGACACACCAGAAAACACTGCCATAAAGTTTCATTTCAAGGTAGTTTAGAGTCTTTTCAAACTGAATCTTGTCCTGTGTATTTTGTATCTGGTTCAATAAAAACTTCATTTTATAGGTTTGGCACAAAGTAAGGTGAGACACACTCCCAGATTCCAGCACATTTTTCACGTCTTAAACAGTTTGTAGTACCGTGTGATGATTAATCCAAACCTCTGCAGGGCGATAATTCTGTAAAGTGTTGTGTGAAAGTGTGTGAGAGCGCGCTCTGGGATTTTCCTGAAGAATTTTTAATTTTGGTAGGTGTGACATTTACTGCCTGGAGTCTGAATCCAGCCTGTAAAGAGCTCCTGCTCCTCTTTTTTTAACACGCCTGTAAATACAGAGTTAATTTGTTTTCTGTCCGCAGTGAAATTAAAACATGAACAGTGAGGTGATTTTTAAAAGCTTCATTTCATTATTCCACAGTGGCCCGAGGTCAGGAAATATACCCACACGTGGAAAATAAAGTGTGTGATGTGGGTGTGAAGATTTCATAAAGGTCGCAGGTTTAGAGGGCAGGGCGCTCGAAAATGTTCACTGTTCACAGCACAGACCTGAAAAGTGAGGTTTTCTCCCTGTGCTATGAAATATGTTTACCACATTTACCAGTCTGTAGGGTTATAAATTCAGGCAGAGTTACAGGCCTATAAAGTCAAACCACATCTCCCTGAATTCAGAGCTGGGTGGCTGCAGAGAGGCCAACGGGGACCGGGGGAGTTTTCTGCCAGTATCAGGAGACTTGGTGTGTGGGACAGTGTGGTCACAACATGGTGGTCTCAGCTCGACTGGCAGGTTTCAAAACTCCTGTCAGTCACTCCAAAAATTCAACCTTAAAACAGAGCATCCTGTTTTCTTTTCTTTGCTGCAGTCTGAATGGGGACTGCTCACATTTATGAACTCCCAGAGTCACTTGCGTACTGCCTGCAGTCATTGGCTGGGATAACCCACGGCCACTGCCTGCCCAGAAACCAAAATATTGAAGTACAGGCAGACGGCAGGGTCCGATGACAGAGTCACCTCTATAGGTGAAGATTGAGCAGCATTACATCCAATTATATATTTAATTTTTTAAAGAAACCCCTGCAGACCCCTCCTGTAATAGTTTCAAAACATGTAATTATTAATGAAAACAGTGTTGAGTGATTATTCTTCAAATAAAGGGAAGTTATTTGTAACTTTTCAGTGACAAGATAATAAGCGCTTAAACACAATGCATTTTACCTTAAACATTACCATCATAATAATAAGACAGTTCCCTACTTTGATTTTCAAATATGTAAATTATAAATTGTTGTTAGGGAAGAACTTACTCAAAATGAGATGCTTTGTGTATTAATAAAAAAATAAAAATAGTTGAAATCAATGACAATGGTTTAAGGACTTATCAGGGGGGATTGAGGACAAAAACTGCCTGTTTGAATTCTCCATCCTTAAAGATGTAAAAGGAGCATATGGTGCCTCGATCCAAGAAATCTAATCCTTCTTAGATTTCACTTTTTGTAGTGTGCATACTTTGGCTCTGGGCTTCAATCGCTCCCTTTGGGCCTGTAGGACAGAAACGGACTTAAATCATCTCTGTTCTGTGTGTGGGGACCGTGGAGGAGTTCTATGAAATGTTTGTATTAACCGGTACATGGTATAAATGTATTTTATAGAGACATACAGCTGCAGAGGGAGCTGCTGTGTACATATTCTACATATTTCTCTGCAGTAGCGGATTTATCTGTTTGGAAAGTCTCCTATAAAACCTGAAAAGCTGTGAGAAAAGTCAGACTCAGTTTATTTGGGAAATGGAGCATGTCATCGAAAAACACTGTCTTACATCCAATCAGGATTTCCTAACAGACTTAAATCAACATCGTTAATTTAACCCTCCTGTACCCCTGGAAACCACCTGGGAGGAGATGGAGGTGTATGGGAACGGTAATTAGTTGAATATGTCCATAAAGATTTAAGCCACGGTCAGGATGGCTCGCTCTCTTTTCCTCCTCCTCTTCTTCTTCTCTTTCAGCTGACCGGTGGCCTCGGCGAAAAACATCACGTCCTCTTTGCTCTCAATCTCCCGTTGGAGGTACTGCAGCGCTGCATTGTTGAAGCCCATCACGTCCTGAGATGAGGAAGAGGAAAGAAGAGGTAGTGAGGATGATGTGAAAAAACAAGATTGTGAGAGGAAAAGAAAGACGTTACTCACTCTGATTTCTTGCACTTTAGAGAGAGTGTTAGTTCGTAGCTCATCTATAACAGACAGCAGCATCTGGTTACTCGAGATCTGACCAAAATGGATCCTATGGAGGCAAAATCTCAGTCAGTTCAGTGATAAAATAGAACATTTTTTTTTGCTTTTACCAAAACATCACAAAAGCGTTCAACATGATAATTATATTTTCTTGGTTTTGATTTTGCATTTACTGGAAAAAAACACCTTTACTGTTTTATTTTTTTTTCCTTTGACACACAAAAATGGGTCAATGTCTTACTTGAGCAGGAAGAAGAGGCAGCGACAGACCAGCTCCACCTCCAGGCCTTGTTGGATGTAGCTGTTGAAAAGTTGCAGCAGCTCGGGGACATAAGGGAACGGCAAAACCAGCAGAGACACCTCCAGCTCACTGTGATATCAGGACAAACAAAAACCAACATGAGATGCTGAGGATTATGAGTCGAGTCTGACTGACACATGGTGTGGATTTGGTCTGATCATCCTGGGCCCACATCTCACCTGGATCGGACTTTCTTGATGACGTCTAACACATAGCGGGAAGGCTGAAAAAGTGACAAAGACTCAGATGTTGACTCTCATAGACGGCGGCTTTGCTTTATATTTTTCACTCATTAGTCCACTTACTGTAACATTTCCAAAGGCAACAAGGATTGGATTTGGTTTGGGTGGAGGTAGCTGCAAAACAACATCGACTAACTATCAGATTTGTTTTAAATAATCACAACACATAAGACATTTTCCATCCTGCACCCAAATACAAAAGAAATATTAAAAAAGAAAGAAGGTTATAGGGTTTAGCTTATATCAGATTATATCTCCTCCTCCTGCTGACTGAGTTAACCCTGTTCAGCATCTAATTAACATATTTAAAACTGGATTATTAAAGACTGATTATGCGCCATTCCTCATAGGTGTGGATCAAGAGCTATAAAAATACCTCTTTGCCTGCTCTCTCACAAGCATATTTGTGCTCCTCCATTTTTCTGGCTTCCTCCTTGAAAAGCTCCAGAGCCTCCATGATTCTCTCGGCCTGCAGGGAAATCACACAGCAGCGAGGAAATCAACCAAGAGAATAAAAACAGGCTCTTATCATCCATGGAATTACAATAATCTGGGTTTGAATTGCTAATTTGGGCAGGTTTAGAGACTCAGAGTTTATGAATGTCTGCAGCTCTAAGTAAACCCCAGAATTATTCAAATATAAATAGTTTCAACAACAGGGTAAAAATTACAATAAAACCTGAAACTATCTAAATAAGTGCCCAAAACAAGACCCAAAAAGTGTCAATAAGAATAGAAATGATAGTCATGCTGTAACTCACAGCTTTGACAGTCTCTACAGTTTTCTTTCCAGCTGGTGCTGCTTCTCCTTCAGTTTCTCCAGGTACCTGAAGATAAAATCAACGAGACAACAGCGTCAACCCTGCAGACTGATGGAACTTTGAAATAAATGTAGTGTCGTAAAGAAAGTAAGAAATGCTGATGATGTAAGGTAACCCTCACCACAGGCAGGTCTCCTTTGGCCATGCTCTCCTCAAACTCAGCTTCTCGCTCCTGATATTGAAGAAAAACAAAGAAAGTGTGTGAAAGTTTGAGTCAGGGAAATGTTTCATATATTGGAGTTAATCCTGGTCCTCTTCCTCACCATCTCACGTTCTTCCTCCAGGATGATCGGCTCCCTGGTTCTCTCCCAGAGTCGCAGTGATTTGTCATGAGATGAAGACACAATGTGGTCACCGTTTGGACTGATGGTGAGACACCAAACCTCCCGATGATGACCCTGAAAGACAGACAGAGAAGCAGGATTTTACCATTTGATGATTGTCCAGTTGTAGCATTCTCTCCCTCTCTCTTTGGTACGATTTTACTTTTTTTTTTTTATTATTATTTATCAAATACTGCATGCTGTAACATCCTGATAACACAAACTTGGTACCCTGGTACCCAACAAGTAAAAGCAAATTAAGTTCCTGGTTTATATTTCAGGATTTATGGTACGCTGAAGTCAGTGGTAGACCCACATGATGTGAAAAATTGCATACTGATATAAAATAAGACAAATGTAAAAGAACTCAAGAGTGCATAACGGCTTTAACTCAAAGTTTTTATGTTTGTCCACTGTGTCTGTGTTTCCCTCACATACAAAAAATGGTATCAAAGTGTGAATGTTAACTAGCCTGGCCTGAACCCAACAGGTAAAATGCACTTGTCTTAGTTCATTTCTTTCTTCTTCATTGCAATACTTTCAAATCATGTTCCCATATTGTGATGATGATAGAGTACATGAGCTTTAGTCAGTGGTAAAGGACGTTTTTGACACGTCAAAAGCGTGTTAAAAGCTCCTCAGGTTAAACCCCTGAACATCAAATTTAGAGGAAGTTTCACCTCTAGCGTCTGGATGTGCTCAAACTTGTCGGCGTCCCATTGTTTGATCTTCTTGTCTTTCCCCGCTGTGAAGAAGAGATGAGTCTTTGGGACAAACTGGAGGAACATGACGCTGCAGAAAGAAAACAGAGGGGAGAGAAATTTATCACAGTGCAAGAAGAGGCAGATAGATGGTCAGGAGCACAGACAAAATAAAGAGAAAGCTGCTCATACTGAAAACCAACGCTAGAGAAAACAGCAAGAATGCATTTGACAAAGTGAATAAGTCGAGGTGAGATGAGGGAGCAGCTGGTGCAAAGTCAACAGGACACAGCAGATGAAGACACAGCTTGAAACTCAACAGCCCGCAAAATGATTCATCACAACTAATTTGATGTTTGGCTCTGCTGTTTGGTTTGGGTGTTACCTGTCGTCATGAGCAAACATGGAACGGTGACAGTCGCCAAAGTCCAAACCCCAGATCTTCACGTTTCTGTCTGCAGAGCCCGTGGCGATAAGAGTGTTGTCCTGGTGAAAAGAAAGGAAACCTCAGAGCCTGTGAGGCAGCACTGTGGGTCCAAAGAACCCGCTTCTGGTTATTTGCAGCTGCATACTCACATGTGAGATGTCCAGACAGAGCACCGGCAGCTTGTGTCCATACAGAGACAAGAAGAACTGAAGCAGACAAAGGGGGACATGTTGGTTATGATCTACGCAGAATCTATCCAATTATTAATGAAGCGGCTTTATAAAAATATACCAAAGTTATTTTCTTTTCTAAGTACAAAAATGTACTCGTAACAACAGCTAAGGTTACAGAGTGTGATGGCAGGTGGGGTGGTGTTTTGATGTCTGGTGTACCTTTAGGGTATCAGTGTAGAAGATCTTCACAGTGCAGTCCAACAACGACACAGCAAGAAGTCTGTGGTCAGGAGAAAACTTCACACACAAGACGTCCTCCTCCAGCTGCAGAGTGCGTGTGTGTTTCACTGTCAGCCTCCTTCAACACACACAGACACACAAAGATAATTCGAATGCACCACTGAACATGAGACAATACACTGTAAGATGTTGTAGGTGAGATCATCTTAATAAATCACACTAATGTTATTGGACTTGAAGAAGGTGCTGACTTACTTCTGGCTGGTCCCTTGGTCCTTTATCAGCTCAAACTCCCAGAACTTCACCGTTTTATCTGCACTTCCTGTGACAATCCCCCTCTGCAGGTATAAAACCAACACACATGCTCAATAACTGTTCATGTAAAGGTATGACAAACAGACAGGGTGTGACAGGTGTGTCTGAGTGCTGTGGTTAGTCGCATTCACCTGATCTGGAGCCAGGCAAAGAGACCACACAGCTCCTTCATGAGCGTCCACGGTTTCCAGGAGGCTTCCTGAGGCCAACTCAAAGATCTGCAGCTTCCCGCTCTGACAGGAATAAAGTATAAAACAGCTTATTTAGGAACAGACTTAGGCAGCAGTTTCTGAGTTAGTCATTCGTGTGTCCATTTACCTTTGTTCCTAGAATGATCTGTCTGTCTCCAGGCACAAAGAGGGAGCAGAGGGCGTATTCGCAGGCCATGGTGCGAATCACCTGTAGAGTCGACCTGTAAAGATCTTTGTGTGAGACCACCATGACAGAGAAAATCAAAATAATCGAAACATTCAACAGGATGAAGTTTCACCTGTTCCAAACTTTGACCGTGTCTCCGGAGGCAGACAGGACGGCCAGGTTGTCCGAGCTGAACGCCAAGGTGCGGACGTCTGTGCGGTGGCCTCCGAGTGTGAGGCGAGCCGTCTTGTTGGCTGTGGGGGTTTTGTCTGAAGTCTTCAGGCTGTATGTTTCTATGGTGTTGTTCTGCAGCAGCAACGCCACCTTCAGCTCACCACCGACACATGAGAGACAGTCTACCCACCTGAGAGGGGACAGAGGAGACGAGTGTCAGGGAATTAATTTGAGACCTAGTGGTTTTTCCCTGTGGTCTAGTCTTATGGTTATATCTTGATCCACACTGACCTGATCTTGGATGAGGCCTTGATGTTGGTCAGTCTGATGATCTCATCCTTCAGCATCCTCTCCACCATCTGCTCTTCTACATCTTCGTCTGCATCTTCCTGAGCTCTGCAGCAGGGGGCAGCAACACAATAAGCCTCAGCATACAGAAAGAAACGTGAGTTCTTTATTTTCTCTAATTTCTTTATCATTTTAAAATCACGATAAGGAAAGTGTCAGTTTCTTTGCTGCTGGTGTGGCCTGATTTTGAAGATCATAAAGATGCATTAAAGTAGTTTCAGACAGCACGGTAACCAGTAAGAACTTTCTTACAGGTGCCTTCTTGAGATTTTTCTGGGTTGGCATCTTGTCATGAAAAGATTTGGTGTCATTTTCTTGCCTCCTCTCCAACATTCGCCTGCTGTGGGTTGTATTATAACTATATATTGTATTTTTGTTGTACTTCATTGTTGTAGCTGTGATAAAAAAGTGATGAAAACAGGTGAAGCTGTTGATAAAGAGTCTCTCCTTTTCTTACTTTGCTGCCTTCTTTTTGGCTTTCTTCAGCTTCTTGGTCATTTTCTTCTGCACCTCTGCCTCTGACAGCACAGTGAAGAGCTCCAGGATCGAGTCATTACCCTGATGACAGAACACAGAACATTAAATTCATGCATATGGTACATTTATAACAATAATCAGTTTACACTCACACATTCTGTGCATAAATAGCATTAGGCTTTTTTTAAACACATATATAAAAACTCTGTATATCAAACTTCTGCACCCTGACTGACCAAGTGCTGACTGTACAATCTACAAAACCAGTCTCAGCTGAGGAGACACTTTCACCTCCTTTGATGAAACCATAAGCTTCCATTGTGCTTCTGTTTTTTGTTTTTGTCTTTCTTTTAGGAGTAGTAGTCCAGACTTTCAGCTGTATCCTGGTCTAAACATGGAGTGTGTCTCCTCTCACACTCACATGACAGGCGATGACTCTGGCCTTGGTGTCTGTCGTCAGGGAGACGACCCGGTCTCTGGCCTCTCTCAGGATGGAGCCGGCTTTCTTACAACTCAAGATTCTCTGACAGACAAAGAGAAAAAAGGTTTGAAGTTTTAGAGGAGAAGAGTTGTCCTGTTGTTAGAAGTTCAAATGTCTTTGTCATACCTCGTCCAGACTTTCATCTGCCTCGTTGTCTTCTTCATCGTCTTCATCCAGCAGACTTTTCCCCTTCTTGGCCTCAGGCTCACCCTCAGCTTTTACCTGATGACGAAAGAAACAGACTTTGCTTAAGGTAACATCATTTGTCTAATTCAGAAACACGTGCAGTCAAAGAAATCTATCAACCTTTAGCGATCACACTAACTCTCATCTCTATCAGTAAATCAGGCTGTTTTCAGACTGTTAACCTGACTGTTCTGTTCAGACAGACACCCTCACAGCAGACGTCGAAGGGTTTCAGGAAGCTGATCATCATGTCAAATAGATGCTCTGATAGTCACTCTAATGGGACTCTAATGGATGATAGTCATTCATCCATTAGTTTAATTTACTTTCAGTCTCCCTCTCAGTCTTTGGAATATGTCTCTGCTTTAAATCCACCACCGATTATTGTCAAAGACTGCACTAAAGTTCATTTTTAAACTTTAAAAATCCACAGTATGTGAAATAAACATACTGCAGAGGAGAACTCTGTGCATGTCTCAAAGGGGCTTCACAGAGACTCAAAGCTCAAATGCATCGATCCTGAAGCTGAAGCTGTGTTCTTCCTCACCTCCTGTAGATAGTTGATGTCCCAGGCTCTGAGCTCGCTGTCTGCTGAGCCTGTTAACAGTCTGTTCTCCCGGTTCAACAGTGCCATGCCCCACACCTAACACACACACACACACACACACACACACACACACACACACACACACACACACACACACACACACACACACACACACACACACACACACACACACACACACACACACACACACACACACACACACACACACACACACACACACAGACAGGAACACACAGGAAAATACACTGTGTTACATAGAATGATCTGAAAATGTTAGCTGGGCACAGTTATGATGAAAACTACACCTAGAACATGTGTAAAAGGTCAAACAAAACAACCTTAATATCACAGTCAACCAGCTGAAAAAGTCTAGGATGTCATTAAGGGCTACAGGACCATCTTAAAATGTTCAATATCAGTGAATGATTCACTTTTTTTAAAGACAAATATTGCTAAAGGCCTACATATATCCTCCTCTTATAGCAAGCAAAAATCAATAAGTACATATAATTGCAGTAAATTAATAAATGAACTGTCCTAAACATCAAGTGGGTGAGAAAAAAACATGTGTGGACCTCCTAAGCTTTAAGACAGAGTACAGAGTCTGGCTGAACACAATGAGCAGACAGTCTCTGAAAGAGCAGTCACACTGATCTGATTATCAGCCTCAATCCAGTTAAGTTTATCAATTCTATCTGCCTTAAGGTTAACAACAGTCTCAGTGTAATCAAATTACCTTTCAGACAAAACTCAGGGACTAAAACTACATCAGCTTTGTGTTGGAAAACAGGATAGCTGTGAGGCGTGGGAAACAAGACTGGAGGATGGGATTAAACTGTTTTTTATTAAAAAATGGATCAGTCTGCTCTGGTTTTAGTCTGCTCTCTGCTGGTGCATCTCTCTGCTTATATTAATGGTTTTACAGGAAGGCGCCCCTCACCTCGCTGCGATGGCCCACCATGGTCTTGAAGCAGTGCTGAGTGTCCAGGTCCCACCACTTCACAAAACTGTCCTTGGAGCTGAAAAGAAGAGAAAACAAAGAGATGTAAAGGCGGTACTGTGAGGGTGTGGAAGCCTGATTTTGAGAGTTTATCAAAAGTAATCATCTGAAAATGTAAGTTTTCTGTGCCAAACTCCATTATACTGCAGTAATGAGTGATGTACTTATTATCAGTGTGATCATGTGAAAGGTCTGTTACCTGGTGACCAGCAGGTTCTTGTCTTTGAGGAACAAAGCTTGTGTGATGAGGTCCTTGTGTCCTTTCAGCCTGTACAGCCCACACTCATTGATGATGTCCCACACTATCACATCTGTGTCCTGCGGGGGGAAGGAAAAGTGATATCTTTCATCATAATTGCAAAGGATCAACTTCTGGTGTAAAAAAAAAAATCCTTTACACATGCTTTCTCAAAGATAGAGAAACAGGAGCCTGAGAAAAAGATTTATTTTGAAAGTTTTGACATAGAAAAATAATATTTGGTTAAAAGATTTATTCAGTTGATTTTTAACACTTGTAGCTGTCAGGTGAATCTGCATGTGGTGTTATATTCCAGGTGCTCTATCTGCTTAACACTGTATCCTGCTCTCATTAATAAAACATGAGAAAAAAAACATAGAGCACAAAAAATACAAAGATTTATTTTTAAACCTATGACTCACCTTGGACCCAGTGACGAGCCGAGCTCCGAGCGAGTCGTAGTGAATGACGCTGACAGCAGACTTGTGGCCGTTGAAGGACACGTTACTCTCACCGTTCATCAGGTTGAAGATTTTCACAGCACCATCCTCATAACCCACTGCAACATGGACCCCATCAGGTGAAGGGCAGAGGTAGGTCACCTCATGTTTCTGACCCTGCAGGATCAGGACCTGGCGAAAAAGATAAACCTTGGATCAACTCTGAAAATCAACTGAGCTGGAAGGATTTCCTGAAGTTTAATACCTGTATGATAATCTCACCTTCTCTCCTTTTCGGACATCCCAGATGAACACGTGCTCACATGCAGCTGCAGCGACATACCGTCCTTTCTCTCCTCCTCTGAGGGTCACATAGGCGATGTTTGCTTTCTGACTGCCGATGACTCCAAATACTGCACTAGGGACATAGCGCAGGTACTGCTTGGTCAACCCCATGACCTGCAGCCTGATGTGGTATGAAATCCTGTTTCATACAAAAGAGACACTTTGATCATCACAGTGTTGGAGGGAAAGATCTGAAGACTTCTAAATTGTTGACAACTGGCGTTTATGGTGTGTCCAAGGCATGTGATATGAAATTATTGAGACAGTCTACTTTCAAGTTACCTACAAGTTCTCCACATAATATGCCAACCGCACTAACTAACTTTCTTAAAAACTGATTTATAAAAAGTTATGGTGTCCAAACTGACCTGTTCACCACCAAAAGTACGGCTGGGACAGTAAGTTTTTTTTTCCTGATACGATTCTTCTACATTTTTTTTGGTTGCCGATTCGATTTGAATTGTGATTCAATTGTGATATTGTCAATTTTCTTGATTTTTAGTCTGCATTTGTAACACCAGTGAAACAGTTGAATGATTATGATTGCCTACTAACTATTCCAGGAACCATATTTCCCCAAAGAATACACATCACATGTAAGTCAGTTTTTAAGATTTAGTCTTACATTTGAAAGAAAAAAAAATCATTTTTGAACATAGAAATCGATTAAAAATTGTAAAGCAAAAAATCACAATACTTATGTGAATCGATTTTTTTCTCCCACCCCTAACTGAAAGCCCCTTACATTGGACACATTAGCATCAAACTGGACCACAAAACAACAACTCCCCAGATCTCAATCTATTTTAGCATCTGTAGGATTTGTTCGACAACAGGTCTGATTTATGAAGACCCAACCCCAACAATAAACTGGAGGATTATTAAAGTGATTCTGATTCTGGTTCTAATGTTCCAGTTTGAAAGAATTATATAAATTAAGGTGTTCCAGAGCCAGGCTATGAGTTATCGAGATAATTTCACCACACACCTCACCACATTAACATCATAACGGTTCTATAACTTATTATCTTACTTATATTTATGACTCAGGTTTACAGCATAGATGTTCAGCCGTTAACTTTGATGTTTTTTTGAAGTTGTAATAGCATGCTAGCCTGAAAGCGTCATGTTGCGTTTGTTTTCAAGTATCACACTACCCGCGTGGTCGGGGTAAACGCTCTTGGACGTTAAAGCCATTGCTAGCACGGTTAGCCCCGCCCTCTGCATGCGCTGAGCAGTGAATCGAGCGCACCCACACAAGACACACCGGTTGTTCCTGAACCCACGTGGGGACATTTTGGGGCAAACGTAGCAATTTGTTACCAACTTAATTTATATCTATGTGTCATTATGTTCAACATTAAGTTAAAATATCTTTTTCAATAGCAACGAATTCAATATTTGGTTATTTTCTGCACTTACCTCTGAAACTACAACTGCTGGCTTGACTTGTGTTGTGTTTCCCAGCGCTGCTCTTCCAGACCAAATCAGCAGATCACAGATCAGTATAAACAGAACAGGAGAAGTCAGTTGTTCGCTTTTAACAACAAGATTTTATACCAAACAAAGAGAAGAAGAAAGTAACGTAGTGGAGAACTGGGAAATTATCGTGATGAAAGAATATCATTTTGTATCTAGCGTCTTTGTCATTTTAAGCTTGATCATTAATTTTTGTTGCTTCTGCCTGCGCTTCCAGGGGTACGTCGTAGACGTGCTAAAGCGTTTACTTTGTAGGGTTAAAGAAAACTGTCCACAAATATGCCTATTTTTCGGCTGATTCACATTTTCTTTGTATTATCAGGGGTCATACTTAGATTTCTCGCAGTAAGAGGTGTTTACAGTTTAAAAAATATTGTAAGTTTCGGCTAATCTTAGAAAAAAACAAAGCGGAAGTATTATTTGCTTTCTAGTCAGCTGATACGTCAATGATTGAGTAACCAAAGTTAAACAAATTTAATACAGCTTGTGCTGGAAGTGCGCTCAAATGACTTCTACAAAATAAAACGTTGATATCGTGAATCTAGCACAGTCTTAATACGAACGAACGGGGAGATGTAAAATAAATGACCATACGAAAAACAAACGGCAACGACAAGTGCTCTTCAACCTCCTACAACAACACCAAACGGCAGAATAGGTTTTAGTAATATGGACTCTTCAAACTTCATTCATAAAAGCTAAAAAGTGCTGGAAGTAACAGAAAATGCAAAACATTTTTACCAGACATATTCATCGTCACCCCAGTTAAAGTCAAAGCCCCCATTTTGGGTATTGAGTTGAAGAGTCTTGATCAGCTCCTTAGATTTAAGGCTTTTTTTAAGGACCTGTTAACCAGGACTAAACATTTAAAATCCAAATGAATAAAGCGTATCAACTATAGCACGTAAACTCGCTTTTTACGCGCTAGTGAGATTTTATTTTGAAAATCACTACCGGATGTTGCTTCTTATACCGTCGAGAAATTGACGTCGCATCAATGGGCTCCTAGCATACAGGCTAAAGGTGTAAATCTGGGTAATTGGCCTTTTAAACTCATTTTTCTTCGCTGCCGACAATACCTCATTCGCTAGGATGAAAACTAAAAGAAACGACTACCCGCTTTGAGCCCACAAGTTGTCGTTTGTGGAGTATTTGGTCTTTATCCTCCCTTTTTTCGGCGTGTACATCACCTCTGTTTGGAGGAAATACAAGAGGATAGGTAGGTAAGTGCTGAGTATGTGGTTATGATGTTGCATTATTATCAGTGTAAAAGTGAATATTCTCTTATGGGAGGGTAGTGGTGTAAAAATAGAGTTGTACATTTATAAATTTGATATTTTTTTCTTTTTCCACGATGACAGTTATTTATTTGAATTAAACACTATGGGCTTTGGTGAATTTAATGATTTGCAGCTGTGAGTGAGCCCTGACTACAACCATCAAACAGCCTGTAAACACGTGATGAATTCATGCCCAGGTTCATTATGAAGTTTTTTTATGGTTATTCTCATTGTATAGAACAATTACCCCTAGAGCTACACTGACCTGAAATCTCTTTTGACTCATTTGTAGATTTTTTTGTCAAGAATAACTTCAGTAAAAGATAGTTGTAATATTTGCTGATATTAAAAGACTGCTAGAAATTAGTCATGTATGAAAATTTTGATGTATTTTTAAAAATAACCTTTAGTCAGTCACATATATCTGAAATGAGACGCAAAACCTCTTTTACAAGCAAGTCACAGCAGCAAAAATATCACTAAAACAACAGACTAGCTTAACTAACAGTGAATTCAGAGAGACACACACACACACACACACACACACACACACACACACACACACTTAATTTCTTTTGTTGTGGATCAAGTGACTCAAAGTCCTAAATCCACACAGAGGTGATAAAAAGAGCAGGAATGGTTTCTTATCTACAGGACTGATGAATCAAATGTCAGTTAAGGCAAAGTTTAGCCAATCAATAGTCCAGATGTCAGAGATGATCAGTGTTTGATTAACTTATTGAAATTATATTTTAGCTAGCAACATGATTTTGAGCCAAATAGTATGGGGACTGTAGAATATTGTGGTAGTACTACTGGGAGACACTAGGCCTGCAGGGCTATAACCAAATTGATAAATCACAATTATTTTGATCAGTAATGAACTGATGATTTTAAATCATTTTTAAGATGATCAGTTTGAAGGTATCATTTAGTTCAGTTTGTAAGCATATATACTTCCCATGTTATTTGCTGACAAAGCTGGACCGGGACTGCTTTGTAGTCTGTTCTCAGTGCTCACTCTGTTCCTCTGCTTTACAAACACACAGCCTGCTCTCAACCTGCTATGCTGTAGATTTTATTTCCTACACGTTAAGTTTTGCATTTGTAAGACACACTGCTTCGTAGACAACAATAAGAGGCCATATTCCCTTATCACACTGTTTATTTCTTATTCATATAGGTAAATGATCAAGTCCTGCCAAAACTACTAGTCTTAAGCTCAAAAATTTTTCATTTTCATAAAAAAAATAATCCCCATAAGAGGGTATGAGTAGAAAAAAGAGGTACTTTTGAGGGGAAAAAAATCAAACAATACATGGATTTTTAAAGTTTCTGATTTGTTTAATTTTCATCTGCTTCCCTGTTAAGTGACTATGTATTTATCTTACACTAAACTCTGTATTTGAGCAAAAACCATTAGTTAGTTAACAGAGAGACTGCTGTTCCCATGATTAATAAGGCATGGAGCTTGTTTTATCTAATCTGCTGATAGTATGGTTATATCCCTGGTTCTTTGGCTGATCAAGCTTCTGTAGGTGTCTATTAACCAGATAGAACCTGTGATAACTCAAGATAAATACCCTGGATCCTTTTATCTGTTTGAATTAAAACACTGTAGACCTCCTTTTGATCCTGCAAGACTGGGAGTTTTTTATTGGGTTTTTATTGAGAACCATTCACTACCTGAGGTTGGCATTATTGTGTGAACTCACACTGTGCTTACAGCATAGTCAGATATTTCCTGCAATCAGATAGAGGTCCCATAGCACAACATGCTTCAGTATTATCAAACAGGGGCTCTAAAGTTTAAGTTTCCTGCAGAATTGGACAAAGCAAAGGTCTTGTTTGCAGAGCTGCTATTTTACACCCACGTGCTACAATTCATCAATTGAAGAGCAACATAAAATACTGTAGATTAGAATATATTTCACAAACACAACAGACTGTAATCGAAGTAAAATGTAGCCTGTGAAGAGAAGAAAAACAAAGTGGTAATAGACTGAAATACAACACCTTTTCAGAGCTTTTGAAATAACTTGCATTTGGATAAAGCAGTCAGGGTTGCAGGTACTTCATTGATTTCAATATTACCTTCCAGAAAATTAATTTTAAAGTAAATTTCCATGTATAAAAAAAACCAGCTAATGCCAGCTACTGGTTTGGCGTATTAGCTTCAGGAATGATTTGAGAGATTAATGGATCAAACTGTAAATCTTCAAACTGTTCGCTGCTTAACCGATTAGTCAGTTGATTCAAATTACCGCCTGCTAGCAAAGGATGAAACAAGACATTTGAAGGTGATTTTCTCTGCACTCAGAGACACACTTTGTCCAGGTAAATAAAGAGCTGACAAACTGATACTGGTGTAGAGATGAAAGATAAACCAATAACAGCTTAATCTCTCCTGCTTCCAGTGTGGCTGTCTGGAGATCTGGAGGGGATGGATCCTCTGGGAGCTCGCTCCCAGTTTGTGGACATCCAGACTCTCCCCACCTGGCAGCAGCAGCTGGGTGAGGATGGCGAAGAGACATCTAAACTAGACCAGAGCGACAGCCTGCAGAGCTTCCCCTCACCCTTCCCCTTCAGACCAGACATCAACCGCAAGATCATCCTCTTGTGAGTCACACAGATTTCCTCACTTTGTCACTTTTGGGTTAATATCTGCTGACATATTCTACGCAGAAATGTGCCACAGATGCTTTAGTGTATGCAGGTCTACAGAATACAACCAGCTTACTAAGAGGACCCGTGGCAAGTAAATCACACAAAGACCTTTTGTGGGCATTGATATTGCTTTATGACTTCCCATTTGCAGTGAGACTGAGACTGGTCAGAAAAAGCAAACTTGAGGCCTATCGACTGCATACTGCAAGAAGTCCATTAACTTTTTTTAGGTTCATGCATCTATGTAGATACATGTGGTGGATTGAATTTTGCTTAGCTTTTGATCTGAGAACACAGTCACTCTTAAACGTGCTGTAAATCAAGAAGTGCCCAAAATAAGGACGTCTAGGGTGGAAGTTATTTGTCGCTCACTTCTGCGAGGTGAAAACCTGTTCTTCTGTTTAGTTCTATTTTAGAGATCGCCTTGTCTCATTTGAAAAGAACTTACTGAAAGGATGAAGTTCTGGGATGTTGTGTTGCAAGTTATAGAGTCTCAAAAGTTGAATGAAAGTTGTGAAAATGTAAAATATAACCTGAAAGCATTAGCAGGTACAAGGTCACTCTTAATTTCTTGTGTTTTTTTATGGGTACTGTCAGTAAATACACCTTTAGGTCTCTGCTTGTTGGTACATCCAGGCTTACATCTCTACACTTAAACATAATCAGTTATGCTAAAAAATTAAAATTTGCACAATTTAGTGAATGTAAAATAAGTTTCCAAATTAAAACTCGGCAACTGCAGAAACTAATGATAGTGTACCAAATACTGACACAGTGGAAAGTTGTGTTGGACACGTGAAGCTGCGCACAAGAAAAAGGACAAATTTGGAATGATATTCTTTTGGAAATGTGCCAGGACAGCCTTTCATCAGCTCAGATGGGGGTCACATTTGCAACTTTTATTAGTTTATTGAACCGTTAAGACATGATCTCATGAAAGCCTGGGTCTTCCCTTCTGTCCTCTGTGGGTAATTATTCTAAATATGCCAAAACCAAAAGATCTGGTTTGGTTTAATTGGTCCTGGTTTTTGTGGAAAGATTTATCGTCCCTTTTGACGGTTAATTTAGAAGCAGTTTTCGAATCCTGCCAAGTACTTAATTTCCTCATCATAACTCCTCTAACTCTGGTGTCTTAAATCAGTTCCGTTGCACTCTTGCATTTGTTCCCAAATGTTGATAAATACCCCCCCGAGCTTCATCTGACTGAGTCAAGATTATGTAGAAACATGGCCATTATACTGGGGTCAAGTCATATATTTTAACATTTGTTTTTTTTAATTAGTTCAGCGTTTTTAGGTGTACATTATGTATAAGGAAATCAGAACGGGCATCATTTAGAGGCTTTACGGAGGCTGTAAAATGCTACAAAACCAATTCTTTATTAACCCGTGGATCAAAGTGGCTCAATGGACTTGTGTTAATGTTGCAGCGAAGTTTCCTCCTTGAGCCCTGCACCCCTTTCATGAAGCCACAAATCATCTTTCCGTGAAAAAAGTGAATAATTTGATTTTCCACTTACGAAAGATTCCAGCGTGTTTGTGAACAATCTGAGTTATTCAGGTTTGACTGGCAGAAAGTTTTGAGTCAAAGGCAGCCGGGCTTTTGTGTTTGACAACACAGCAAATAATAGTTCTACGAAGTCGTCAAACCAAATTTTTACTTAATCAATCTCACGCTGCAAACATGCTCAATCTAGTTTATTTTAACTGTCATCACATTTATCACGAATGGTTTTCATCCTCAGTTTTACTTTCTGTCCATAAAATGTTAGTTTATGGCATCGCCGGCTTTAAATGATTAACAGATCATCAAGTTCTCTTTTGTAAATAATTTACATAGTGTCCCAACTTTTTGGAACTTGGTTTGGACGACAGGATCTGTAACACAAACTCGTCATCAGGTTCTGGGTCTATAGTGTGAACCCTGCCTGTGTTTCCTCGTGGACCAGTTCAGAGTCCAGATCACCTCATAAATCCTCTTTGTAAAGTAACACATGACCATCCGGTGCCCGACTTGGCAGAGTTTCTGTGTGGAGGCCTTGTTGTTGTAGTGGCCCTCCCCTGCTCAGTCATCAGCAAAAGACACATTCCTGCTGCACAAACGTGACCCGTCCTCCAGGAACAACGGACCCTCGAGCGGTTCCAGCTTGTGACCCACTCCGTCACAGGGTGCATTTGTGAATCAGTGCTGAACAGCGCCTGCATGGATGCATCAGTATTTGTATACGTGTCATATGAGCTTTTTGTCAGCTGAATAAAACCTTGCTCCTTCTCGGGTCCTTCAGCTCTTGAAACAGGGCAGCAGTCGAGGGTCTGTGGACTATGAAATGATACTTCTTGAGCACGCTTCAACAAAAGTATTCAGCAGTCTTGCGAGAAAGTTGCTAACTGTAGCAACACGAGAACACTCACTGCCCGTTATGCAACTCAGTGTTGCACAGACAGCAGAACTAAGAGCTTCTTATTTTCACTTTAGATTCAGTGACTCATTAATATGACTTCATAGTCAGACAAAGACCTATACGCATATATTTCAGATTCCTAACAGATCATTTAAGGCTTCATGACACACTTTTAATCCAGGATTGAGCTCAGTTTTAGATTTTAGGATTGACTAAGGAACTGAAGAGTGCTTCAGTCTGACCTTGTTAAAACAGGGAACTGTGTATCTTTGGGTTACACACCTGTTCCTGCTGTAGAAATGACTAAATGTGTAACCACCTTATCTCATAAATGATTCTTACTTGATATTTGCAAGTGACAATCACAGATTTTGCTCCATTGCGTTGAAGACTCTGGTATGGTTTTTGTCAACATATTCCAGCGCATATAGAGCTGCTTGTCAGGCCTTACAGTTAAAGCCACAAATCTTTAATATTGTCAATATTTATACCATAAAAATCTCAACTTCTAAAGATAAGATCCAGTACGAAATAACCTGAAAAATCCTTCACTACACTCAAGGTCTGTTTCCTAGTTCGAGTTGCTTTTCTTGCAGCGTGGTCTTGCTTTGGATTTTAATTAAAAAAAGGACAACATTAAAGACTTTTGAAGGCTGACCTTGTCTTGTGACCAAAAGCTTTCAACACACGCTGGAGTAGTTCCTCATTGTTATTTCCAAAGAAGAAATGACTTTACTGAAGCAATAAAAACAAATATTTAACTCTGGCAGAATGATAAATGACTCTGGTTAAAAGTCTGTGGTGCAGACTAATGAGCAAGTGTGAGGTCAGATAATCACTTTCCAATTGATTTAGGCAATGTGAAACACAAAAAGGGTCCTTACACTGGTAGGAATGATTGAAAAATAGTCAAGTAGGTCTTAAATTAATTAAAGCTCTCATGAGGAGTTTTTTACTGGCTGTAATTGATACTGATGCCTTTGTAAGATTACGCAGACCATTGAAACCGTCAACAGCAACACTGACAAATCTCTTCACTGTAATACTTAATGCTTAAAACTGCTGTCTGACTAGACCACAGCAATGCAAGAGCACAACATACAGGAGATTCGTCAGATACATCCTACAGCAAAAAGTCTCACCAAACATGAAGGGGATTCAGAAAAATCACATTTAAAAGGAGTTGTCATGTTGATGTCAGGAGATCTGGAAACTCCTAAACTTTAATTTTTTTTCTGTCCTTATCAGCACTGGAGATGTCGCCCTGCTGAACTGCACCTCCATCGTAAACACTAGTAATGAATTACTCAACGACAAGAACCCGGTGTCTGACAGCATCCATCAGTACGCCGGGCCCGAGCTTCGAGAAGAGCTGCTCAGATTCAAAGGTAAGACTTCGTAACTACTCCCAGGTAAGTTTTGATATGAGTTTATCTGCTGAGTGATGCTTTGGGCTTCAATCAGAAGTCAGGAGACATTAATGTGTGCAAATGCTAATGTGAATGCTAGTCCAGAGGTTCAACATGAACATGACAAGGCTCACTTGAAAATGGGGGGAAATTTCTCCATATTCTGAGCTATGCATTTGAATGAAGTAGGAGAGTGTGAGAAATAGTTAACGACCATAAATAATCTGCAAAAAATGAAGATTAAAAGCATTAAGCTTCACATACCAAACAAATTAGCTTATTTTCAACACTTCAGCCGTATTTAGAGCACCAAGTTCAACAACATCCATCCTGCTGTTGTGCATTTTGTTGTTTTAAGCACATACAGCCTGAGTTTCATTATGGATGGCCCATACCTGAAGTTTTAAGGGCATTTATCCAGGATCTCTGCACAAAAACTTTAAATATTTAGATAACTCAACACTTGAATGACTTTTTTCCAACATGCTTTAAAAGTTTAGACATTTACGGTAACCACCTAAAAGTAAAAATGTGGATGGAAAATCTGGACCTGCTTTTTGCTTATCCTGCAGTATTTAAATCCATCACAATAAAGATGGGTAAGTAGTCTAAAAAGCCATTATCATATCTGCACTTTCAGCATAATTAGATAGCACAACTTGAAAGATGGGGGAAGATATGTAGCCAAGAGTCAAACCAGCATCCTCTGTGATCAGGGCAGCTAAGATAACTGGTGCCCCAGAAATAATCATGTTTTATGTTAAAGAAAACTCGACCCTTTCACATCTTTAAACCTGTGATCTGGTCTGTTTGCGTGTGTGTGTGTGTGTGTTCAGGATGTCGGACAGGGGAGGCAAAGCTGACCAAAGGCTTCAACCTGGCAGCGAGGTTCATCATCCACACGGTGGGACCAAAATACAAAGCCAAGTACAGAACAGCTGCAGAGAGCTCGCTCTACAGCTGCTACAGGAACATCATGCAGCTGGCTGTGTAAGAAGCAGATAATCACTCTGTTATCCCGTCAGTCAGAGATAGAGCAGACACAGCGAGTTTAATCCAACGCTATTCTCTCAGCTCTTTATTGCGTTTATTTGGCAAAACGGCCTCTTTTATAAGCGACACGGAATTCAGTAATTTCAGGTTGGAGTTCAGCTGTGAGGACAAAACTTTGCAGATTTCCATTGTTTCTCCTTCAGGAATGATTTGTTTGATAAACAGTTTTTGTGCCTGATGGATGCAGATACACAAAGACTTAATGAAGGACACTCAGTACCGTCATCAAAAACAGCATTTGAACGAATGCAGGAGTGAACAGTATTTGGAGAAATGTCTGCACAGCATTGATAAAAACAGGAACTTGACTAAATCTGTCAGTTCATAAAAATTGCAACAGTATAGAGGAATTGAAACAGGAGTAAAATGTGCATAGTGTTGACTCTGCCTCAAAATGCACCACAACAAACACAGACGTGCGCTAGGAGACCGTTCAACCAGTCCTCAGTGTATGTGCTGTCAGTGTGGTTTACCACGTGTCACACTTTTCTTCTTGTCGCCACAGGGAGAAGTCAATGTCGTCTGTTGGCATCTGTGTGGTGAGCACAACCAAAAGAGGTTACCCACTGGAGGACGCTACACACATGGCTTTCAGTAAGACACACAAACAGTCAGAAATATGAGTTTTTATCAGGGAGGTGCAGACGTGCACAAGTAGCGATAATAAGCCTGTTATCTTATTTTTCTGTGCACACTTTTACTACAGGATCATTTGGAAAATTTCATGACACACCACATTACCCTCACGAAAAAAAAACAAAAGACTCATGATTATATTTATTTCCAATGAAGTCAACAAATGATACCAGCGGACACTCTTAATTAGCCACAACACACAGTCAGAACCTCTATTTGTGGCTGGCATTCACGATAAATGTCGAGTTCATTTAAGCACACACGATGATGATAAGGTCATAATCTGGCGAAGACGAAAACATCCTTTTTAGGTACACCCAAACACATAATGAACTCAACAACATGATGTCCACATGGGAGTGATCATGCCTCGGGCCTCATAAACAACATGTTCAGATTTCTGTGTTTGAAACGAAACAAATGTCTGTATCGTCAATAAAGTAAAACAGGACCACACAGGGGAGACTTGAAATGATACTAGATGTAAATCCAAACTCTCTGCAGTGGTTTTAAACTCAAATACAACATCATGACCTTTTTAAAAGAAGGAAAAATACCTGAAAGTTTTACTGGATATTGCAATAGATATATACAAATACACAGATACATCCAGGTAAAAATTATGAGCAAAATAAACAGAAACCAGGGTTAATATTTTTATCCGATGAAAGTCTGATAGACAACCCTTGCTGAAATGAATAATGCATAAATGTGTTCACAGGAACCGTCCGCAGGTTCTTGGAGAATCATGGAAACAGCCTGGAGGCGGTGGTGTTCGCCGTTTCGGAAACAGAAGAGGTTTGTTGAACTTCACCGTTCACATTTTCCTTCACCTACAGAGAGCGACAGTCAGAGTGTCGAGACTCATTCAAACCAAATCATTCTAAAGGGAATGTACAGTATGGTGTTGGTCTGGAATGAAATTGTAGTTTCATTCATTTTTGGATAATAAAGCACTCATATTGAGAAAAATTTTGAACGTCCTTCATGGTGTTTCACTTTTTGTGTGGATGGAAGTTATTGAAGAGTTTGAGAGCTTAAGAGAGGAGTTCAAAACACACTTTCTTCACACATTGCAAGACGAGTCCACTTTTTGTTTATGAAAGTTGCAGAAGCTGTTGAGACACATCAGACGGGTCCTTGTGTTCAGACACTCTCACAGTCACTGTCGTACTCAAAGCCACTTTGAATCAGTTTTCTGTATTCTACCTTTCCTGTTATCACAGCTTTCTGTTTAATTGTGGAAGTCATAAAATTTCACGTACCTTTGTGTGTTCTTTTAGCTCGTATACAAGAAGTTACTGCCTCTGTATTTCCCTCGCTCCGAAGAAGAGGAGAAGGCCTCCCTACCTCTCATTCCAGCTGACATTGGCAACTCTGAGGGGGAACCCGTCGTCCCAGAGAGACAGATCCGTATTGCCGAGAAGCCGGGCACGCTGGAAGGTACACAACTACAACAAAACTTACTGTGATGTTTCCCAGATTTAAAGAAAGACGTTTAAAGTGTCAGCGATTTAATTCTGAGACTAGGAGTTATATTTTCTCATGTGGTTGACATTTTGTTTTGGAGTGGGATTCTCCTGTTTGGCCAGTAAGAAAACTTCCAAGGTCACTTAATGTGTCTTTACGGCTGGAAGAGCCAGCAAAATAAACTTGCACTATTTCCCCTCTCGGTAACCTCATAACCGGGTTCCTGTTAACTTTTTTTCTCCTCATTTACTCTGATTTAACCCTCAGAGATCAGGCTTATATTACATCTTACATTCACAATTGACTATTTCTGATAGAGCGAGAAGGTTGAGCTTTAATTCTTTGGAGTGCTGTTTTGATATTTTCTGGTCAGAGCTCCTGAAACTTTCTTGAAATTTGCAACCATCTTCCTGCCATCACACCCCAGTACCACCTCTGATTGTAGACACCATCACACTTCTGGTGCATTACAAATAACAAGACAATACAGTTGCAACTATCCAGTACAGCCTTCAACAACCTACATAGACAGTTGAGGTTGAAATTCACTGGCCTCCATCTGCTCTACCTTTTAGACTAATTCACAGAGCACTTTGCACCCATAACACCCAAATAAAGAAAAGCTCTTCAGCTCTTTGCTCCAGTTTTGAGATTTAGTGTCACTGAGACGAGCTGTTGGCATCTCCACACTCTGCTGCACAGAGCTACATTGTGCACTCTCATCCTGATTGTGCTGAATTCTATCCACATTTAAAATAAACCTAATGGAGAGCATAACTCATGTACCGTCTTATTTTGGAGTCTTTTCATTACAGACGTGACACCATTGGCACATTTTGTATCCTACCCTCCTGTTCATGCTGTTGTGTTCCTTTTATGGCATAAAATACAGAAGAGAAGTGACAATAAAAAGAAAGAGTGAAACTCTAAGACTATAAAAGGAGTACCAGCACACGTGTTTGCATGTGTCTGTGGTTTTTGCGTTTAGCATGTCACCTCCTTTGACCTCCGGTCTGCTGTCTACTGGTGCAGTGTTTCAAAGAGGCTAAATGTGGCTTTGGGGTGTCAAGCCAAAGCAAGCAAGACCGCCTACGACTGCATCCCAATAACAACAGGCTTGATGTATACACACTGACAGGCACACATGCCCATTTGGATGCAGATGAGATGCACAGTCATGCATGTGGCTGAACAGTTCATGTGGTCATGTGAAAACTAGAAACAGACTTGAACCTGAGCCTTAATTCGGTCTCCTGGGTTCATGACCGAAGTTGCAGCTTTTGACAAACACACACAAATAATTTCATGCTTTCAGATGAATTAGGATCAAGGAAATTAAAAAAGATGGAAGAGAGAAGAGACCAAGCGCAGAGTAAACCTTTTATAGGAAAAAGATGTGAGAAATCAAAACCAGGGGGCGCTGGTTTAGCTCAGTTGGTTGAGGAAAGATCTCATGAACAGCAGAGTTAATGTTTGAAGAATCAATTTGGAGGTTTGATTTACAGTTCAGCATCAACTCTTTTATGCATGCTGATCCTACTTTCTTTATCAGACATTTCCTGACTATCTTCTGCTGTCTTATCTAAGAAGGATTGTATAAAGAAGATATGAAGGGGAGGACACATCACTGATTGTTTACAGGAAAAATATACTTTTAGAGTTTTGTTTGTTTTACTCATCATAGGACTAACTTCGATGCCCTGAAATCCTCCCTTTGTGTATCAAAGAACAACTTTTGTGGATGCTACATCCACCGTATTGATTCGACTGAAGTCAATAAAGTAAATCAAAGGTAAATCAATATTTATTCTCTGTTTGTTTATTCAGATGATTCTGAAGAGGAGAGCCTGGAGTCAGATCTGGGTCAGGTGGGGACTCACGCCTTCGCTCGGATGGAGGGTGACGTAGACAAGCAGAGGAAACAGATCCTGCAGGGCCAGATGTCAGAGGCGGCGATTCAGAAACAACACCAGAGGAAGTAAGAGTCAAATAAGAGACATTTTGTTTAAAAGAGAGTTGAGTTGACCTGTATGAGCAAATATTGCATTACAGTGTCTGCCTGCAAACAAGATGTGCAACAAAGGGACGTCATTAAAGTTGAAGAGGGGACATTGTGGGTGCCTGTATGCACAAGGTTATAAAGACCCCCAACTTTTAAAATTAAGTCAGAAAACAGAGAAAAAGAAAAGAAACTGCAAAGAAATAAGTTTCATTGGAAGCATTTGCAGAGCAGGAATCATCTCACTGACAATGATTTTGATGATTATTCCTCAAACAGAGACGATCGTGCAACTCCACACTAAGTAACTGAGATTATCCACAGACTTCCTGTCAGTAGACTTGTCAATGCATTTTACTTTAAATGGTTCTGACTCTTCAAAAGCTTTTAGTGATAATACTCGGTATTTTACTCTGCATATTACTACTGTGTTTCCTGGCACTAGAAACTGAGCTGTATTTGTGTCTGTTTCTCTCCTGTAGTTATAACCGCTGGCTGTGTCGAGCGAGAGCAGAAGATCTGTCAGACATCGCCGCACTGAAAGCTTTATATCAAACCGGTACGTGCTAATGAGTGTATTTGCATGAAGCAGGGAGAGAAAGGAACCATGTGCCAGATATTATCTTGCAGTTTATGGCGTGACTCCGCGTCGAAAGGGAGACAAAGGAGGAACAGTACTAATGTGTGCTTGGTGATCCTTTATCTGGTGAGAGTTGGGTTTTTTTCACTTCATTGAGGACATCACTTACAGGGTACATAAAAAAGTAAAAGCAAAGTACACAGCATAACAAACATAAACAACACAGCATAAACAGCATCCTCTCTTAGCTGTTAATTCAGTCATTACCAGTAGGAGGCGTTGTTGTTGTACAGTTTGATGTGATTACAAGAGTAATGGTCAGATTTGCTCTGTACTTTGGATTTAAAATCAAACATGAAAACTTTTTGGCAAGTTGACTCTAAATGATTTCAAACTAGGGAAAAGTTTTGACAGAGATAAACATACTGACTTCTGTTTTGACTGATTTTAAAGGCATTGAGGATTACTTTATCCTTCCTGTGGACAGTTTGTTTTACAGCAAGCACCACTGCAAACCCAGCACTCAAGCAAATATTTAAAAACACTGGATTTATCTAAAGGGAAGGTAATGCAATAATTGAACTCAAAAAAAAAGACTTTGATACTGATCTATTTAAAGGCTGGCAGTGGTCTGGTAAATGTATCTGCAGCCAGACACAGAATGAGCTCCCTAAGAGTACAGTACACTGTGCAAAATCCCCAAGAATCCAGAGATTTTCAGAACAGAATTTCCTGCAGATGATATAGTTTGTCCACATATGTCAAATGTTTCATACACATGATACAGAAAATCCAAATATACAGACTCAGATTTGACCAAATCTGTGGTATATCGTCATTCTTTAACTTCAGATATTCAACCTGTAAGGCGTTCTAGATACAGAGTCAGTCTTATCAGGAAATATTTCGGCTCCATGTGCTGACCTGCAGGTTATATCTGCTCTAAATAAGACATTTTAAAACGCTGCCGTCGGACCATATCCAGTTTGGTCATATCTCTGTCGTACTTTAAAACTTCAGGGTAAGAACTTCTCTGGATTCTGAGGGATTTTGCGCAACAGTGTGTTGAAATGAGAATATTTACAATATATATACATATCAATCTAGGAATGCTCCCTTGCTCACCCCTCATGTAAGTGAAGTGGCAGTGATCCGCCATTCATCAGGTTTCTTTTGTACCCAACAACCACTCTCTTCTTCTTCTTTTTCACCTTCATACCGCTGCATTTTCAATCAGCTGCTCATTATAAACAAAAACATGTATGAAACTGTTATGTAGTCAAAATGATCTCAGTATAACATCCTCCTGCCGATTTCTTAACTGCTCACTGATCAGCTCTTTGCTGCAGTCTCCTACCTCTATGGTTTGTGATCTCCCTGGTGCTGCAGTGCAGCATTTAAATAATGGATATTAAAGTGATGATCATAAATTAGACTTAGTTGTATTCATTTAATTCCTGAAGTAAAACATGAGCGAGCATTTCTTGGTGTTGTTGATAAGAGCATAATTACTGTTTTGAAATGCAAATAATGGATTTAAAGCCTGACGGTTAACATGATTAATTGCCTTTAACTGTGAAAATTGTGCAACTGATTGCAATTAGTCACTTGACAGCCTTAAAAATAATATAACTCATTTTAATAAATGGTTCTATGAGGCGCTGATAGCTTTGTGATCTAGATGTGTCCAACATCCACAGGCGGCCCAGGTTTAATCCCATCCTGTGACTCCTTCCCCACATGTCAGTCCCAGCTCTCTCTCTGGTTATCTGCCCTATCCACTGTCCTCTGTCTGTCAAAAAAGGCCAAAACCCCCACAAATGAATCTAAAAATAAAAGAGTTCGCTGATAGAGATCATCAGGACCACAGACTTCAGATTTAAAACAGAGGAGTGAAAACAGATACAAATTTACAGCACACAAAAGCCTCAAGTCAAAGTGAAGCACTTCAAGCGTGAGGCTGTGATAGATCTTGGTGGAATAAAAGATCTGTGTGTGTCTGAGGGTGGTGCAAACATCCGAAAGAAAAGGTAAGATGGTACAGGCAGAAAATGATGACTGTGAAAACGCGGGCATATTCAGGCTGTTTGTTCTTCATGGTCGTGCTTCATGATGAAACGATTTCACTCTCTTCAGCAGGAGGACAGATTCAGGTTTTAAAAAAGTGTAACTTGGGGACATTTGAACAATGTTGGAACAGAACAAGCAGAAAAAGAAAGTCTAAACAAAACACAGCCTTCTGAGGAATTTCACATGCACCACAAACACCAAATCAAGAACACCAACAGACAGACACACATGCGACGCGCCTCAGCCGCTGTGATGCCAACTGCTTTACAGGGGAAATATTTTCACTTCCTGTGTGGAGACAGGTTTTGATTTGTGCGATGAGGCTGGATCAGCTGCAGAGCTTTACACTGGAGTAGATTATTGGCTAGTCAAGTTGACTTAATTGTACTTGATGACTGAGATCATGAGGGACGTGCAGGATGCGCAGCACGAGCGGTGTGTGAGTTGGGGTTGACTGTGTTGCTCCACCAGTATTTTCTTTTGAAGTTGTTTGTTTTTTTTGATTCATGTAAGCAGCTGTGTGTCTATAGCGTTTTAGCGCTGCAGAAATGTACCCACAGAGAAATGCATCAGGTCTGAATTTATTTTTAGGAGTATTAACCTTCAGGTTTGCTCGTAAAATCACTTAAAACTTCTATTCTTGACGACTTATCATCAAGTCCATTTAATGCAGCTCCAAATTAAATACACGATGATGTTTCGCCTGCTGCATTTCCAGATATATGACAGATTTTTAACCACGCTCTCGTTCATTGTTCAATATTTCAAAACTCCTGTGAGGAGTTTTATGCTGTTTGTAAAATTAATATTGATGCTTCTTTATGACCAACAAAAGCCAAGAGGACTTCCACTGACAAGACTAATTATTGCATGCTGAGGAAAAAGCCGTTTTCAACAGTTTACATGGCAAAAATCTATGAGTGTCACATTTGAGTGTCAAAACAAAGCAGACAGTGAATTGGATCTTTTTTAATATACTTTTATTACAAGCTCTAGTTTATTTATATCCACAAGGAGTTGCTTTTTGTTTTTTTCCATACATTTTGCGCAATGATGATGAAGGCATTCATTTATTCATTTTTTCGGAAAACACGACAAACATTCAGGGCAAAATCTGTAAGAAGAACAACAGCTTTGTCAACACCTTTTGAAAAGTTCCTCACAGGAACTTTGATTTCTCATCGATCTTCCAGCATGTTAATGTAAATATCTGTGGATTTACAAGAAAAGTAATTATCATTATTGGTTATTAATGGTTGAGTTACACTAACTACCACAATAATTATCTTGTATACCAAATGTACCTTTTATCAAATCATTTATATGATATGATTAATACTGTATATGATAAATAAGGGTCTTTACAGAGAGGAAGGAAATCAAAAAAATTAAGTATGGTTGATTTAAGGAGAGGGGTTGGGTCAAAGTAAATCATACTTCTTTCATATATGTTAACCCAACCATTTAGTGTTTCTTTTTTTTAAATGATCAAAATAAACAATTCAGTTCAAGTTAAAAACATAATTACTGATATGCAGTGTTGCAGAACAAGATGGCACATGAAAGTGCATGCAGAACCTGATAAATGGTTTGGCCTTTTTTCAGTAAAACTAACAAAATCTATCAAGTAGTCCTCACCAATGATGAAGTCTGAGTTCTTCTGAGTCGGACAATTCTAAAATCCCAGTTAAGCCACAAGTCCTCCAAATCAGGACAGGAATTTGTTGAGATTTTTTGCAAGCTTACCAAAAGCCGCGCTTCTGTTTGTTTTCAGAAGGAGTGTGTGCAAGTGTGTGTGTGTTTGTGTGTTTAACATGATAAATGCTGTGTGTCCACAGGTGTGGATATGTGCGGCAGGACAGTGATGGTTGTTGTTGGACGAAACATCCCAGTGACCCTCATCGACATAGAAAAGGTAACAAACTGGAGCACATATTTCTGTCACACCTGACTTCACTGATGAATCTGAGTTTACAAGTAAGTCTCTGAAAATAACAACTGCTTTGTAATATATCCACTTGACTCATAGTATACACGCACATATGCTTCTGTTTCAGCAGATGCTTCTTGTTGCAGGTTTCCAGCATGTGTTTGTGTCCTTTCAAAGTCACTGCCTGCACATGCTCTCATGACAAATTGTGAACTGTAAACATTTATTTTGATCAGATGTGTTGGCTGTCCTGAACACTCGTTTAAACAAATACTCAAGAACTATTTGAAATTTAATTACCCTCATAAATTAACAACCACTTACCAACAATACTACAACCTTTACCGACTTTTTAACGTTTGTTTTCAACTTACTTTTCACAAATTGAAAAAGAAATGTACATTACAAAGAAGCAGTCACAAAAATCCAGTCACAACGCAACAAAACCAAAATGAACAGACCCATGAACCAACAGAAGACATAACTTGTGTATAAAAATCACTTCAATAAATGTACATATTTTAAACAAAACAAAGGAGTAAATAAAAAAGTTTGAGTCCCGAGATGTGAAAGTCTTTCTGTGATCTAATTTTGTGTCTGTGTGTCCAGGCTCTGCTCTACTTCGTCCACGTGATGGACCACATCACCGTGAAGGAATACGTGATGGTTTACTTCCACACACTAACCGGAGAGCACAACCACCTGGACCCCCACTTCCTCAAGAACCTCTACGACATTGTGGATATCAAGTTAGTCTGTTTTGATACACTCTACATTAAACTGAGCCAGTAATAACTTATTGTCTATGCGTAACACCTTCTTCTGGTAAACGAGCGTGGGATGGAAGGTGTGCCAAAGGTTAATTTAGCAGTTTACTGGATATGTTGCATATGTTGACGTGTGACCTTTCCCATAAATATTTCCACATTTTCCAGTTATTGATATGCTTATGTTGGATGAAAATGTGTTGTCAAAAGATCAGTTTTGTTCCCACGATTTGCGTCGTACACTTCTTAAATCTGCCATGCAATGATTAAAAAAGAGAGCTCCTGAGAATTGTTACCTTAACCTCTCACCCACCAGGGCTAAAGACTTCAACATTCTGCATTTCTGTCTCCGCAGCTATTTTGCTAACTCTTTTGGCCCTTTCCTTGGTCTTTAATCAGCAATTATCAGATTATTAATAGCCAGAACATCACAGAAAATATAAAGCATGAGGAGTTATCTTGTAAGAAATATTGAAAAGAGCTTTAGGAAAGTCTCCCAGGTTAAACTAAAGTTCACAGCAATCTCCTTTTCCGTTTACTGTAAAAAGACGCGAAGATAAGCCAGTTGCAATATAATAATGAAATGTTGAAGTGCATTAAGAGCTTTATCTCTTGCCCTCTCTGCTGGAATAAAATCCAGACCCATAAAGGCCGTGTCCTCCTTGAGGCCTGGCTGTCACTGTAACCTAGGTCTGGCGTTCATTTTGGCTCCGTTAATTGTGCTGACTTCTGCAGCTGCATCAAAGTTCAAATACATTGTTCATGCTACAGTGTGACACCGCCAAGGTTACTGTGTTTTGACTTTTTGGAAAAGCAAACCCGGCTGTGAAATGCTTTTGTTTCACCATGGCTTTTGGAAATCTGGCGGCCATATTTGGAACAGGAAAGACGAACTTGGAGCGTGTGCTCTGGGGTGATGTACTGCTGTGACTGAGCCTTAATCAGAGGGTTCACAGTTTGGAAAATGGATCGTTGTGCTGAAGTAACTCAGAATAGGCCTGTCATAGATACCGCTCACAAAACCTAACGCTGGTTGTAACTTTTGTTTATTTTAGTAGCTGTCCCTGCTGCACCTCTAAAGAAAAAGGGCTGAAGTTTACAGAAATATAAGATGGGAAGCCGCTATCATTTCACTTTTCAGCATTTCAAAAAACCTGAATGACATACAGCTATTTTACTGTGCTGACATTTTGAAGTACTAGCTGAAAATTTTCCAAAGCAACTTCACTTCAACATATGGCTGATTGATTTCCATGTATATCCAGTCCAGAAATCGGCCCTGGTTGTAATCCTAAACAACGATTCTATTGAGGAATCTAAATATGTCACTTTTTCAAGACTCTGAGCACCCTCTGTCAGCACATCCACAGCACAATCACTTCAAATACTCTACAGATGGAAGCAGATGTTGAATAATATTCCGACTCTCTGTTTGCAATCTGCTGTGCAAAAAAAATTACTGATGTCTGTTTCCAAAAAGCTAAACAAGAGCCACCACATTCTCCAAGAGCAAAGCAGAGCTGTTTGGATTTAAAAACCAGCCTCCAGAGTGGACCCCACAGCTTTGTGTTATCTTCTGAAATGTGAGACTTTTGACCCTAACAGAAACCATATTTTGGTGAGAAGCTGGAAATGTATAAAGATACCAAATATTACCTGAAATGGAGAAAATCTGAAGCTCGAGTTAGGCTTGGGTTATGTGGAGTCATGGAACAATAACTATGGCATCTCGTTTTCCAGGGTTTCTCAAGGGTTAAGGAAAAAAAAAATTATTATATTATGACGCTTGTATTAAAAAATGTACCTGTTGTCACTTAGTCACTCAATATGCAACTTTAGTTTGGTAAATTGGGTTTGTAAAATGTTAATTAAAATGTAATAATTTAAGAATTTCAGCTGCTCAACAAGTGAGTGCTGCAGACAGGCCAGTTCAGTACCTGGACTCTTCGACTACAGAGCCAAGATGTTGTAATATGTGCAGAATATGGTTTGACATTGTCTTGCTGAAGTTTAAAAAAGGGATCGCCTAGATGACAGTATTTGTTGCTCTAAGATCTGTAAATAATATTTAGCACCAATGAAGGCTTCACAAATGAAGTGTGATGCACTCGTTCATCCTCATACGACCACATGCCAGCTCTTGAACTGTGCTATTATCACGAGCCTGGTGGCCCCTCTTCATTTTAGAGAAAAAGATTTGGTGTCCATGATTTCCAAAGTGAATGTCAGTTTCCCCAGAGCCGGAAAAGCCACTAACACATCCAGATCATGTTTATATGTTATTTTTTTGCTAATTTCACACTTTTAAACTGCATTTGTGGATGAAGGTATTTACTTTAGTCACAGATAATAGGTTTAAAGCATGATTTTTGAGATCTTGTAAATTTTAAACAATTTTAAATGTAAAAAGAGGAACTGTGAATCATCAGGTATATGAAGATACTTTACAAATATGCCAAAATTCTGATCCCTCTAGTAGTGTAGGAATAATAAAGTTTAAGTTCAAGATCAGGGTGCTTTATTAACATGAATTGTAGTGACTGTTATTGCCAAAGGAAATCACTGCATACAGTTAATAACAATATAACACAAATATAATTAACAGTTAGTTTGTATTTTTAAGGGTATGTTTTGTACATGTATACATGTACAAATACATATACTTAATTTGCAATTATATTCTTATATAAATATAAATGACATTGTTTAATATGGAAAAGACATAGAAAGGACAAATGTTCACAGATGTCTAACTAGTTGATAAGGTGGCAGTCAAGTCTAAACAAAGCTGTTTAATCCACTGTCAGTGTTACTAACTGTATTATCAGTAAAGCTTTCAAAGCAATGAAAAGTAATACTGCTCCACGGTGAGAAGAAAGTTGTTTTGTTCCAGTTTATAAGGTCGCTTAAGGACACCGTAACACCATGGCAGGATGAGATGAGGTTAGTGCACCTTTTTAGTCATGCCTCTTTCTAGTTTCTGGTAACCACAGCCATGCAAACTTCCTGTGTGAGTGGGAAACTCCATTCAGCCTTTATACACCTTTCAACCACGCTGTTCCTTTCAGAGACTGGTCATCTGGTTAGTTTCACCACACCTCACTCTACCCTCTCTGGAAACCTTAGTGAAGTCCCAACACTATACTCAACAATTCCCTTTAATTTGACATGAAAATGATAACACCTAAAGTTTATATTGCTGTACTTCTGCAAAGCTGTTCTATATTTCTAGAGGTGTTAAAAGAGAAAACAAAAAGGAAACTCCTCCAAATGCCTCATTCATACAATCAGTATGAAATATGAATGAAGAAACTTTTATTCCTCTTTCAGTGGAACAGGGAAACCCCGTTTAGTCGTCACCTATAACCATGACTGCATTGTACACTTTGCTGACTCATTCAGGAGAGTTGCAGCTTAGGATGAAGTAAGAAAGATATTTAAATGTCATGTTTCTCAAAAGATCCACATAGTCCCTGCAGCTTTAGCTCACAAAAACCTCATACTTAAAAGATGTCACAGTTTCAGTGCAGATCGGCTTGGTTCACTGGTACCAAACAGATGACTGTAACGCTTTAATAATGGTGCTTTGTTTAGGGTCACTGAACTTTGACTTAGTAAAGACACAAACGTGCTCAACACTGAATTTAAAGCATAAAATTGTCAGTCAGACGTGGGCTTGATGTCAGGGTGTATAGACCCTTTGAGTGTTCGTAAACAGTGTCACCACACCTTACCCAGTGGGAGCTAGCTAGTTGTTTCGGCTTGTTTTCAGCCCCAATGCTGATGTGTTGTACTGGTTCTTATTATGACAAAATTGAAGCAGTCTTTCTCAGTTTCACCTCTCCACTGTTTTGAGACTTGGCGTGGTCATGTCGATCTTTTCTGGTAATAAAACCACTAACTTTGACCAGGCTTATTCACCACATTCAACCGATGGAGACATTGATTTGCTGCAGAGGCATTTTGGCTCCAGACAGCCGAACCAGCAGACTAAAGCCAAATATGACCACAAAGTTTCTGGCTAAGTGGGGGATATGACGAATTCTTCCTTGAGGCGACACGCAAGCCTTTGATTTTGATCTTTGTTTCAGTCCTCAGGGGGTCGGGCAGTAGACCAGAGTAGGATTCCCACGTCATTGTTTAGTATTTCTGTTTCTCTTCAGATTTCGTCTGTCAAGTAAGAAACGACATTCCTCCCACTCTTGGCCACATTTGTAATATTAACAGATGATTCCTACCCAAGCCAGACCACCCTTACGTGTGTTTGGCTTGGCAATACATACTGTTGCAAAGGCGTGGATTACTGTCCCTGAAACAAATGGCCAATTCTTCACCATTAGTGCAGAGTGGCTCTCAGATAACCTGTCAACAAATACTTGCCGGTCTTCATTTGTCAGAATATTTTCTGATGTTTGCTTTTCAGTTTGTTGATGTTCTCACAGTAAGAGTCTGGGTTATGGACAAGGCTTGGTATCACCGTCGTATGTCAAAGAAGAACCAGCCCAGGGCTCCAGTCTTAGAAAGACATCATCTTAACTAGCTGTAGTTTGGTGACCTCAGAATAGCACCCCTGCTTTAAGCCAGGGCTGTGGATTTTCTTGTTTCAATGGGCCGTGACCTCCTGAATGCAATGGGGTGGTTTGCAGCTCAGGGTGAATTGTTTGGGACTACGGTCAGTACCTACGGCTCTGAGTTCGGGGCGCTTTGCCAGATCGTGGTGGGTTGCTCCCTGCTGTTTTGAGACTGTATTTTGCTCAAGGAAAGGAGTCCCAAAGCCGTACTTATGAAGGTGTGTGCGATAGCCTGTTGTTGCAAGAACAATTCACAATCTAAATAAGTCCAGGACCTCAAAGCTAATTAACAGTTTCCAAGAGGCAGCATGGACAAAAAACAGTTTGGCAAATTACCGGTGCCAGGGCTTCTTGTCAAAGGGTGACACTTACCATCTACTGAGCCTTCTACCTTTGTATAATCATGCAGGGCCGCTCAGTTTGGGCTAAAATCATCATCACATTTGTTTTGGCTGATATTTAGGTCACAATTATTAAACACAATTACTCACAGTTTGACATCTGCATCACAAACATTAATGAGACCTGAAAACTCTGACTTTTACACCGTCGTTTAAAAGTAAAGGATAGAAAAGGATCTCACCTGTTCCTTTGTTTACGCTACATTTCATCACAGGCTGCTTTCACTCTGTCCCTGACCTTCACAGACACGCAGACACCTGCGCCTCTCCCTGCTCTCCTCTCCCCATCTGTTGCTGCAGCACATGTTGAAAATAGATTAATTTCCTTTACAGTGCTTACACTTATCCATTATTAGTAAGGGTTTTAATTGTTTTAATCTGAATCAATATAAATCTGTCAGATCCTAACAAAGCCGGCAGTATGAGCCAGAAAATATGAACCATTGCCCTGAAAGATGCGTTTGGTGCCCAGGGTAAAATGAGACTGTTGTAGCAGAAGCCCTCATTTTACTTCTGTTTCAACCCTCACCTCTGGTCCTGGGTGAGATCATGGAGACATGAGATTCAAATGAGTTTTCCTTGCAGACAGATTTGGCTCACCATAAAGGACAAGTTCAAGACTTCAGCTAAGGTGGTTCCAACATATGCTCAATAGGGAAATTTCAAGTACTGGACACATCTGTCCAATCAAAGCAACCGTCCACCACAGAATACAACAGAAACACACCATTTTCTCTGGCATCGATGGTTAAAATAGAAATTATCATTTTGCAGATAACTGCCCAGATCCACAGTTGTTGGTGGTGCTGGAGGCTGGGAGGGAATCTGTGATGTCCAGCTGTTGCTTAACACCTAAAACAACTCTTTAACCAGAACCAGAATTTGTCAATCATGATGTCTGGGTGGGACCAAAGGAGGCTGAGAGAAATTAAAATTTAATACTTCTGATAATCATCCATTTTCTTGGGGCCATAGGTCTCTCGACTATTTTCAGTAATAATCCTTGGAGTCGTTGCTGAGATAGTTAACTCTGGACGAACCCTACTGGCAAATATTTCAACATCATGAATTTCACTGAAACCAGATTCAGCTGACAAAGTCATTCATCGTCTGTAGGTTAAAAATAACACTCAACTGGTTGCTGAACTGGAATGGATTTCATTCAAAGCTCACAAATTTATTTTAAAACATATGGTGACAGGATAGTTTGATCAAATATATTGAGTGTACATAGAATAGACAATGTCCCGTTGTGAACTTTGACGCCAAAAGATCGCCAACATTCGTGCCATTAAACCCAAAACGAGCACAGTGACCTGGCTGGTTGCTATAACACACCATAAACTGACAGATGAAATGAAAAAGATCTATCAGGTAGGTACAGTCCAGTCCACAGTGGAGTAGATTCTTGTGTTGATTTTAAGCTCAGATGGATGGCTGTATCTTCAACACGTTGTGCTACAACAGTAAAAACTATCAAGCAGCCACAAGAGGAGAGAAGAGAGCAGGGAGAGGAGCTTACGCTGGGATTCCACTGCATGCAGATCCGCTACGCTCCACTCCGGTGGACCAAAAACGTGGAAAAAGTGGACCCACAACGCTGGCCCCTCCCATTATCATGTGAAGAACAGTCCAAAGTATTGACTTAATTTTATTTTGAAAATTAAACATATTTTACTCTGTAGCCGCATACAACCTCTGCTGCCGGTCGTACTGCACTGCACTGAATTGATGCGTCCGGCAAAAATAGAAGCCTTGTGGAATCACGCACATTGATCATAATGCTGGCGTATTTGAGCCGTTCTGTATCCTGTAGAATTTAGCTGTTATCCAAGTCAACTGTCAATACAGAGCAAAGTAACAACTAAATTCCACAACATATGATCTGCATGCAGTGGAATCACAGCATAAGGGAGCATAACTTTGATCGCCTGGGCGTCAAAGGAAAAGGAAAAGTGGTGCCGATACATCAAGCAATTTGAACCCCAACCCTAACACTTTTTACTGCACGTGGCAAATAAATTAAATCAGATTAATGCCGCCAATTGTTACCCTTGGAGGCCGCTCAGCACACCACCTTTATATCTCAAATTTTTCACCTGCCATCTCTCATACAATTCATGGTCATTTTCCTTTAGAAAAATTTGTTCTATTTTTCTATAATAGAACAATGTGACAACTGTGACTGCGCTGCAACAAACATCCTTCATACTCATTTTATAAATGATTATAAAATGTGCTACTATTAAGTTTAAAGGCTGTCGGAGCATGACCCATAGAAAACAGCTACAGTTCTCAGTGCAGCAGCAGTTCAACTCCTGGCCAAGACCCCTCGCAGTTATCCCTCACTTTCTACTCCCCACATTATGACTTCAGCTGTCATATCTAATAAAGAGAAAATGGCCCAAAATATATAACTACAACAGCTGCAGTTTCAAGCAATTCAACTCAGCTAGGAGAAAGTGCTGTGTTTGTGGGATGCTGCTTTCACTTGCAGCTAAATGCACACATGTTGCCAGAGTGAGGATTTACAGCAGTAGGACTGTGTGTGAAAGAGGTTCAACATTCACCACAAACCAAGTCAAACAGCCTCTGATTGATGTGTTATTTATAGTTTTTGGAGGAAAGCTTGGGTCGATGGCATAGAGGGGCTTTTCACTGCTTCTACAAGTCAGATGTTTTTGTTTGATTGGTTGACAAGAAAAATAAAGTTTTACAGAGAGTATCCTTTGATTGCATCTTTTAGTTTGGTTTGGAGTTTTCTTAAGATCCGGTTTGTTATTGTAAGCTGCATCGTTGTTAAAGGAAGGAGAAAAAGCACATGCACATAGTAAAAGTCTAAATCCAAGTGGTTCCTTTCTGCAGGCAGAGTTGTTGGTTTGCATTTAGAGGTCCTCCTCAGACTGAACAGGTGTAAAGGTGTGCTGCATAAGTGGCTGAAGGGGAGAGGGACGTTTGTGTGTCTGACTGTGCTGATGGATGGCCTGGAGCTGACTGAGTTAGGTTAACATCTTGTCTTTTGTTCTCGGAAATTGCTGAATATTCTGAGACATAAATCATTCTTTGCACTCGCTGAACTTTTCTCTTTTGTTTTTTGTCTTGCAGGTTCAAGAAGAATTTAAAGGCCTTCTACTTTGTTCATCCAACATTTCGCTCTAAGGTAGGTCTCTGTTTTCACACGCACCAAAATGGCCAACACTCGTTGGTGTTGTTAATGTTCTGCATGTCGACTTGCTGTTGGAGCGTTTTCATTCCTTCTGTATTTAAACTCAGTTTGTAATGACGTGTCTTGGCTTGCTGTTGTGTTTTAGCCGTTTTGAAATCGTTTCACCTCTTATATCAACGTCAACCCTATTTTCACCGAACATGGTCAAGCTTCCAAGTGGAAACACTGCCATTCTTGCACAACTCATGTGTGGGACTGTTTTCTTAACTACTCTGGATGTGTCCTCCCTCACGTAACCTGTGGTGATGAGTTACAGAATTGTTCACCTGCAGTTTGCCAGCTAGAAGAACACGATCACTTTGAATGCCTTCAGGCTTCTTTTTCGGTTTCACTCAGTTTCATAACTAAACAAGATTGAAACATTTCTAAAACATGTGGCTGATACATCCAAATCAATCAGTGAGATTATCCATCTCTGGGAGAGTGCATGCACACAGTCAAAAAAGCATCCTTTTCCAGGAACAGTATCTCTCTCTTTCTCCTAATCCTGGGGTGTAAGGAAACTCCTCGGTGTTTATTTCTTCAATTTTTGGATCAAATCAGGAGGATTTATCAGGCTCGGTGTTGAAATTGCATTTTGAGAGCCTTCTGGCCTTTCTCTGTTTTTTTGTTGTTGTTGTTTACTTGATTTTCTGTCCTCATTTTCCATTACCAAGCGTTCCCTGTTGCATCAGACTTGATCTCACGCTATTTGTTTAAAAAAGTCCTGATCACTTTTGTCGTCGCTGGCTTTTGTGGGGTTTAATATCCAGGCAACACAAGGTCAAATCAATCACTGATGACGTCTCCGCTTCAGGTTGTTTCCTTCACTTCTCGTGGTTTCATTTCAGGTCTCCACGTGGTTTTTCACCACCTTCAGTGTGTCTGGGATAAAAGACAGGGTACGCTACCTGGACAACCTGCAGCAGCTCTTCACCTGCATCAAACCGGAGCAGATCGATATCCCTCCATTTGTCCTGGAGTATGACGCCAGGGTGAGCAGAAAAACACGTCATTGTGTGAATTCTAATCAACATGAACACTTTGATTCCAAAATCTGTCTTCATATTCAGATACGAAGAACATTTTATCAACTGTTTCATTGGGGTGTATTTGCACCGTACTCACTGTGCTAAAAAAGGACCAAACCAAGAACCTTAGCTATACTGCAACTTTTTGTTCTCTACACAATTTATCATTTTACTGTGGGCTTAAGTGGACTGAACACCCTGAACTAATGGTTTACTCACAGACGTGTCTCTTGTGTTGCACATTTTAGGTCCAATGAGATCATTTCATGCATGGCCGTCTCCTACAAACTGTTCACAGATCAAGTTTTTGAAGTTAGCTCGAAGCGTGCATATTAAAACCACACATTCTTGTACCAAACTAGTGTTTTGAAACCCTGATGTTATCTGGAGTTATTAAAAACTGAAGTTACTGATTGACGACCTGATATATTTAAGCATCCATGTATGAAGCCAGACAGCCGGGGGCACAGCATGCCGTTAAAGTTAACATACAGTATATCCTTAAACGCTCTCTCTCCTCTTGGAAATCTGTCCTCTTGAAGATTCCTTTTGTCCTCATAGCGGATCTCAACCCTGAAAATGTCTGCGCCCATATGTGTTTTATCTTGAGAACTTTTCTGAAGCTGTTTTCGAAGGTTGAGAAGCAGAACAAAGATGGAACAAGAAGAAAAGGCTGTGTTCATTCGTCTACATTTTATGTTTCTGATCGTGCTGATGTGAACCAGAGAGGGAGAAACAGGAACAATCAGCTGATGACTTTCTTATTGATTGTGTGTGTGTGTGTAATTTGAGAAATGACACCTATAAATCAGTCTGCTACAAGCTCAATTAAAGTGAGATTGTCCAGGGGGTTCTGTGTTGATTTGGCTCTGTACCGGATGTGAACGTGATTGATGTGAGTCATTGATACTAAACTTCTGATGATCTCTGGTTCTGCTAAAAATACCAAAGTCAGACTCCTTTACTGTGCGGAAAGAGCTGCTTGTAAAGGAAAAGGACTGATCGAATGTGGGGCCTGTGCCTGTTTTAGATTTCAACAAGCTGGTTTAAAAGAAAAAAACGTAAAGTACATCAGTAAGTTTTTATTTCAGGTTCTTCAAAAAGAGGATCCAGTCGCCACGTTTTGGTCATTTTTCAGCCATGACTGGCTTGTATCTGACTCTGTATTTTGACTCTGTGGTTTGTTAGGTTTGTGTTGGCAGCAAAGAGTTTCAGCATGAGCCTTTTCTTCTCTTGCATCTTGGACTGAGGATGAGGATTGAGATATGGTCCGTCCGGTTCAGGAGGCAACCATTCAGCTAAATTTGTGTTTCAGGTTTTTCTGTCAGGACTCGTGAACGGTTCCATGAAAGGATGATGCTTTTTTCCTTCAGCAGAGACAATTGGACTTACGAAACAATATGTCAGCACATAATTTATCATCAGGAGAGACTGAGTTTGAATATCGATGGCTGTTCAAAAGCTATTGAAACCACATGCACCATCAGGAAGAGTTAATCCTTTCCTTTGATCCATCTCACTGCGGATAATGAGTTCAGATGACAGACTCTGAAAGTTTGGGAAAGACTTAACTCGGCCACCCTTAAAACAAGGACAGATTTGCTGGATTTGCAATCAGCAACCTCACAGTAAGACGCCTAAATTTTCTATCTCAGCTCTCTCGACATGCTCTGCTCTCTGCGGCTTCAGTTTCCTCCTTGGGAACTTATTTCAGGTTGGCCTCAGACTCCCTCTTTAAACGATGGTTTCTGAACACAATGGGCTGGCCTCCTCTAAAGCTGTATCATGCTGCATTTCCCTCAGCCGATCAACACGTGTCGGTCGCTGTTACCCAGAAGTAGTTCTCTCCACTGGGCTGAATTACGATGCTGGTGGAAAAGGTTCAGGAAATAATGATCCCCTCTTCGATGAAATGAGGCCTGTTTCAGAGAAAAACATGACACCACACACGGCATCAGATAAAAGACTTAGTGAATAAATGTGAGAAGATATGGAAATTTGTATCCACCAAAGCCTAGCTAACGACATTTTTTTTTTTTTTAATGTATATATTTCTTACGAAAAGACTCAACTTCTCTGTGCTTTAATGTGCTTTTACATCGTGACACTTGGAATGAGTAACTAGTCTGTTTTTGCTCACTATCATCCTTCTGATGGTGTTTTGGCTACAAACAGTAGACCGATACAGTTAGCAACCAGGTGATAAAATTGGCATTTAACATTGTAAACAACTGATATTTTCTTTCGAAGGTTGTGCAGAAACAGAATAAATAACATCTCTAAAAACTTTATAAGATCGCACATGTGGGGCTGTGCAATAAACCGAAAATTTACTGATACCGAAATTTATGACAAATAGCCCCTGGTGTGTCATTTTGCCCATGTCAGTATATTCAGTGTCAAATAAATAAATAAATAAATAAAAGTTTGTTTTGAATGGGTGTAGGTAGGCTATGGTCTCATGTCCCTTTAAGACACTGTCCTATGTCGGAGAAGTGACTCCACCCCATCCAGTCCGTAACAAAGAGGGAAAGACAGGTGAGGAGATGGAGGACAGTTCAAAGGTTGTAGCGGCTGAAGTAGACGAAGTTAATGTTGGAGGGGGTGAGCAGCTTGTGGAGTAGCTATCGTCCATTTATCGTTATCGAGGTGAACTGCTCAATATATCGTGACATCGATTTGAGGCCATATCGCCCAGCCCTAGCACATGGGCTCAGTTACTATCAACCTACAGCAAGAAAAAACTGTTAACTGCAGGTAGTTTGTTTGGTTTTGGACTTCTTGTGTGATCACCTCATGGTTGCTGTCAAAGAAAAATTCTTCTTGTATTACCTTTAAATGAGCCCCTATTTTCTAGTCCTTTCTGATGCAAAACAGAGAAGAGGAAATGGAGTTACGATAAGTTAATGATGATCAATTTTAACATTAGCCTTGATTGGAAGTGTTCTGTTTTTCACATTTGGTTCTAAAAGTACGGTCAGCTGCAGAAAACAGTCCTCATGGAAAGCAATCCAACGTGATGCAATCAGGGAACCATCCTCAATCACCTAATAAAGATTTGGCTTCAAGTTATTTCTGATAAGAGACATCTGTATGAAAGTGCAGACACGAAGACAGACAAGAAGGACACAAAAGGTGCAGACAGCTGAATGAAAGAGACATCAACCAAAGTGAAGAAAACAGACACAAATCAACAACAAAAACTTGAGAAACTGAGAAATTTTAAAGTCGTGGGCAGTTTGTTTTTTCTTATTTTCTTGAAACTCATATGTTTCATTTGTTTTGCTTCTCATTTGTACACCATCTCTGGCTCTCCTCTTAAACATATTTTGCTCCCCATTTTCAGATTAATGGACCCCACAATCCCTCCCAGTCTTCAGGTCTGTGACAGGAGACCATCAGATCTCCCTGAGGGCTTGAGCGAGCTGGTGTGAGTCTGCCAAATGGAAGCAGTTTATGGACCTTGCGTTTCCAGTGTGGTCTGAACTCCGAACCTCCTCTAAAACCTCTGAACCATACTGAGGGAAACTCTCCTTTTGTTCTGCCTCTGCCAAAAGGACCAAATTAACAGCCTCAGCCCACATTTAGCAGCATGAGGCCAGGCGAGCAGTCATTCTCTCTCACCACGGACTATTTGTGGATCTGGTTTGGTTTCTGGATTATGCCTTACACTGATGGTTCTTATTCAGCAGTTTCCTCAAAAATCCCTAAATATGAAGCGTAATGTCACGTCTGACAGTCTCCTCCATCGTGTGGTCGTATCAGACGTCCTCGCCCATGTCTCTGAAGACTGTCAGGCTCTTCAAATGCTGGAGTAAGATGACGTCTGTCTGGATTTCCCACTCACTCTGGGCCACAACACGCAGGATGAAGAAAAGACTGGTCCTGAGTTTAACTCTTGGTAAAAGCTGGAAATTTCCCACCTGGTGATTCATAATGACAACCTCCACTTCCTCCTGCAGTTACAATCAGAAAACTCACAGGGGGTAACACTTAGCACCTGGTACATGTGCAACAGCTATTACATCTTATCTGAAGTAGCTTGCTAGAATAAAAACATGTCATTTCACAAACTTTTCAAAGGGCAGGTTTGAGTTTTTTTTAAGTGAGGTTATATGAGGTACATGTCAAGCATCACGCATGAGAAAAGCCAGTCATGCCTGTGCCTTTGTTAAGAACCAGCCTGACCAATGCCAGTGTGAGTGGGCGCTTTAGAGGGAAAATTCTCTGTGCTTAACTCGGTCATATTTGGTATTATTCTGCAGATGTTTACAGACACGAGTTCTTCACCACGTAGCACGCTGTTCACCAAACTTTAGATATGAATTTAGTATCAGTGCATCCGAGTTTGAGATTATTTTGAGCAAACTAATGCTTAAGATTATCAGGTCATCACAGTAAATGCTGTAGAGTTTTTCTCAGCGGTCATCTAACAAATTGAAGAAACAGGCGTTCACTGAGCAAAGAAGAATGCATCAGTATGTAATCCGCAGGTATCTTCTGATTCAGAAAGGTCCTCAAGTCCAACTCACGACAGCAGTAGCTCTCTGAGTTCATGGGTATGAACTCTCAGCTTACACACCTGCACCACCAGGTAACTTGCCATCTCTCCTGCCCCCTCAGTTTGTATTTCTGACCCCAACCCCTCTCTTCTTCAGACCTTTTAGTTTTATTCATCCTCTGAAAACTCTGCCTCATAAAGGTGTCCTCTTGTGTCTACGAGTCACTACCAGAATCGTTCATCTTTTGAAGACATGATTATCCCGTATCATACAATGTTGCTTTCAGGCATCAAAGCTAAGCATAGATTTCTCTGTATAGATGCATTGATACCATTGGTGTTTGGGCTTCACTGTCTTAAAGCTAGATGACTTGATACGAATGGTTGTGTCTGCTTCTGCTGCTGCTTTCTCAACAACAAAGTTTCATTCTTGCTATTGACAAGTTCCTCATATAACCCAACTTCAAAATCACCGAACTTTCCCTTTACCCACTCAGCATCTTGCTTTCACTTTGGTTCACAGATATAAAGCTTCACTAGGGTGACTTTTAACAAAGTTTGGCACCAAGTCTTGAAAAATAGGGTGTATGCTATGATCAATAAAACTGCAACACTTCCTTTTTATACGTCTTACATGTTCAGTGTGTCAGCTTTAGAGGTGCTTCAATGTGCGTTTTCTTACTTTTGGACAGAGCTGGAGCTTTAGCTTCAAAATGAATGCACAACAGTGGAACCCCGTCGTTAAAAATTATTCACTAAATGTTACCTGTCACTTTAGTTATAAATGTACACAAATGTTTTTTTCATGCATCACAAACACAGTGTTTTTTTCGCACATAGAGTCAGAACTTCTCCATTGCCTTTTCCCTGTAATGAGTTCGTAATTTCCCACGTCATGCTGTGACTGTGAAGCAGCATGAAGTAAAATTTTTAACTTTTCATCACTGCCAGAAAAAAGTCCAATCAAATAGTCAATTGAAAGATTTACCTCCTATGAGTTTCATGATTTACTCTCATGCCACACCTTGACAGGTTCCAGTTCCAACATGTGAAGATGTTCTGCTTTGTTTGTCTGATATTTCTGTTAACTTTAATCTTCTGAGATGTTTTGTTGCACCACAACCTGGACCGCTGCGACACTATGGGCATTTTTAAAATCTCTTTAACCATTATAGATTAAACTATGAAATGTTGAATAAAAAGGAAATCAAAAGAAAAATCACTGATGAGAACACTCAGTCGCTGCCTTAATCAAAAAGCTGTCCTCTCTTCACGTGAGGACAAACGGTAAAGTCAATGTTTTCTAACTGAAGGTTTTTGTTGGCTGCTGATGTAACCCACAGCTTGATGTCCTCAACAAGGTAGTTAAGAGATTCTGTATAAATTAATGAATAATATTTCTGCTCTGCACTAATTTATTGTGTATTTGTTTTTGCTTACGCATTGTCTCACATGTTAAATTTTGTCTTGTATGTTTGTTTGTATTCAGCTGCTTTGCTTCCTCTGATATTCACTCACTTTTTAACATAAACATGTAACATTAAAAACTGTTTTTAACTCACTTTAACCCTCACAAGTACCATAAACTTATTATTTTATCCTCATGCCATGGAGTAAACAAAGTAAATAGGCGCTTAGTTCGCTTATACCTTGGACCGACTCCTGTTGTTACATTTGCAGCTGTTATTATTTTGAGCCTCTGTGAAGGGTCTTTAAAGCCTCAGGTGTTACTAAAAATTGAGACACAAATCCAGCTCATACTTGCTTTTGTTTACAAAGTCATCAGTAAAATTATGATGTGACTGTTTTGTCTCTAAAGCATAAAAACTTCCCACTGTCTTTGAGTTTTCTTGATCATTGGGAAGAGAAAATACCTGGGACTTTCTTAGACAACTCATGAGTATTGTTCTGAATTAACAAAGTGCAGAATGAAGAGAAAAGATCAGTGATTAAATTGGCTTTCAAGTTGCCATATAGGCTCGTCCTTTGGCACCGTCCCCACAAGACGGCACACCCTGACACCAGTTTTTGGCTACGTCTCACTGTGAACCAGTCTGTGTGTGTGTCTAAAGTTATGAAACTTCATCCAACTTTGTAACATATGCATGAATTAACAACACTGAGCAACATAATAGGTCCTTTGTAAAAGAGGAGGTAGGCATTTAGTCCTATACTAAAGCCAGTCACCAGGGGGTGCTCTAAATATTTTGGTTTCACCTGAGAGAGCTGTCGTGCTGCCCGTGCTTTTATTAAGTCTGTGGTTTAAACCAGCATTTCCCCCTTTGTTGGCACATTTAACTTCACTTTGTGTTTTCGAGACATTGAAGTAGTCTCACTCAGTTTTGACTGTCAGATTGTGGACGTGATCAATTATCAGGGTTACTGCAAATCAAACTGAACAAAACTTTTAACATTCCTCTCTTTGCTTAAACTTTTTAAACTAAATCTATCAGAAAAGAAAAAGTTAACACTCTCATAAAAAAGCAGAGCTTGTCTAAGCGTGTGCTTCTTCACCCTGTCGTGTCTGTTTATTCACATTGTTTAAATATCAGGAATCTACACATCTTTAAGTCATTTCAGCTTCTCAGTGCCCAAACTCAAAGATGTATTTACTAACAGATAGAAATTTAAAAATCCTGCCAGATGTCACGCTGCATGACAAAACAGAGTCTAGCTGGTAACTTGTATATGAAATGTTAGTGCATATGATGTATTTTGTGGATTTAATCACCTGGAAGACTTGACGGGCAAGTTGCTCAAAGACTGTCGTAAAAACCAACATGTATCGAAAAATCAGTCACAATGTCTTTAAATCTTATTTTTCTTTTAGACGGAGGATGACATCCAAGGTTAGCCATGTAGGAAATGAAAACTTGAAATTGTCTCACCTCTACTGACAAACTTCTCTTCATGCATTTACAAAAGTTTTAAGACTCAAAACCCAGTGAGTTATCAAAAGTGTCATACAGATGGTTCTGGAGGAAATTAAATGTAACTAAGGTCCTGTTTTTTTTTCCCTTCAACGTCAACATTATTGTCTGAATGCTGTCAAGAATGTACATACAATGATGAGCCAAATATTGATGTCCTGGAAATGTATATTATCTTTTTTTTTGTATGATTTAAAGTAATGAGTGAGGGGCTGATTGTCAACAACTTCTGAGATTTACAGGAAGTGACATCAATAGTATCCCCACAGAAGTTCTTTTTTTTAATGTAAACACTGATTAAAATGATTTTCTGCTGTAAAAAAGGTTGAAGTTCCTGTTTTTCTTCCTCTGAAAATAATTTATTTTAAAAAGTGTCTCAGATTTTGGTCCAAACTAAAGCCTGTTATGAAGACGGTTGCACTGAGGTTGAATCTAAAGCTAAATCAAATCCTGGTGCTCACTTTAAAAGTTAAATCTCTTTTCTCCAATAAGAACGACTGGACCCTTGCAGCATATGCAACTGTGACATCAAGTTTTGAAATCTTCACACAGAAATGCTCATGTGTTACTGATTTCTGTCTATGTGCTTTGAATACTGTGCGCATTAACTACTCTGAATTTCATCCATCTACGAAGAGAAAATGAAATCCATCACCTTCAGCTGATAGGTGATGAGTTGTTCAAAAAGAAAAAAAAAAGGTGAAATATTTCTGTTTAAAAAAATTGAGCTAAAGACATGAGGTCCAGCAGAAGCAGCTGAAACATGTTGGAGAGCTTTAAACATGATCTACAGCCAAAGTTCTGTGAAGTGAAAATCTCTTTTAAAACAGTGAACCTGTGAGCACTTTTCAGATTTCAGTTCAAACACTTCTGCATGGTTGTTTCCAGGAAGATGACACCAAACATAAGCTGCTGACGGCTCTTTCTTATGATATGGATCATGGTCGTACTTTGAAGAGATGGTTTGGTTTCTTTTAAGAAGGGTTGTATGAGGTTGTACTTCTCAATAGTAGACATTTTTTTCATACTAATACATATATTTTTCAAACTAAATTATGTCATTTTTTTCATACTGTACTATGTCATTTTTTTATCATACTATACTATGACATTTTATCATACTATACTATGAAGTTTTTTTTATACTAAAATATATATTTTCTTTCACACTAAAATATGACATTTTTTAACATACTATACTATGACATTTTTATCATAAAAAAATATAAAATTTTTATCATACTATATTATGACATTTTTTTCATACTTAAATATGACATTTTTATCATACTATGCTATGACATTTTTTTTCATACTTAAATATGACATTTTTTAACATACTATACTATGACATTTTTATCATACTATACTATGACATTTTTATCATAATATACTATGACATTTTTTTATACTAAAATAAAAAATTTTTCGGATTAAAATATGACATTTTTAACATACTATACCATGACATTTTTATCATACTATACTATGACATTTTTTTATACTAAAATATTTTTTTTTTCGGATTAAAATATGGCATTTTTTAACATACTATACTTTGACATTTTTATCATAAGAAAATATGAAATTTTTAACATACCATACAATGACATTTTTATCTTAATAAAAAAAAATGTATATATATATATATATTTCGGACTAAAGTTCGGACATTTTATTATACTAAAATATATACTATACTATAATAAAATATCAAATTTTTATCATACTATTCTATGACATTTTTTTTCATACTTAAATATGACATTTTTAACATACTATACTATGACATTTTTATCATACTATACTATGACATTTTTTTATACTGAAATATACACTCACCGGCCACTTTATTAGGTACACCTGTCCAACTGCTCGTTAACACTTAATTTCTAATCAGCCAATCACATGGCGGCAACTTAGTGCATTTAGGCATGTAGACATGGTCAAGACAATCTCCTGCAGTTCAAACCGAGCATCAGTATGGGGAAGAAAGGTGATTTGAGTGACTTTGAACGTGGCATGGTTGTTGGTGCCAGAAGGGCTGGTCTGAGTATTTCAGAAACTGCTGATCTACTGGGATTTTCACGCACAACCATCTCTAGGGTTTACAGAGAATGGTCCGAAAAAGAAAAAATATCCAGTGAGCGGCAGTTCTGTGGGCAGAAATGCCTTGTTGATGCCAGAGGTCAGAGGAGAATGGCCAGACTGGTTCGAGCTGATAGAAATGCAACAGTGACTCAAATAACCACCCGTTACAACCAAGGTAGGCAGAAGAGCATCTCTGAACGCACAGTATGTCGAACTTTGAGGCAGATGGGCTACAGCAGCAGAAGACCACGCCGGGTGCCACTCCTTTCAGCTAAGAACAGGAAACTGAGGCTACAATTTGCACAAGCTCATCGAAATTGGACAATAGAAGATTGGAAAAACGTTGCCTGGTCTGATGAGTCTCGATTTCTGCTGCGACATTCGGATGGTAGGGTCAGAATTTGGCGTCAACAACATGAAAGCATGGATCCATCCTGCCTTGTATCAACGGTTCAGGCTGGTGGTGGTGGTGTCATGGTGTGGGGAATATTTTCTTGGCACTCTTTGGGCCCCTTGGTACCAATTGAGCATCGTTGCAACGCCACAGCCTACCTGAGTATTGTTGCTGACCATGTCCATCCCTTTATGACCACAATGTACCCAACTTCTGATGGCTACTTTCAGCAGGATAATGCGCCATGTCATAAAGCTGGAATAATCTCAGACTGGTTTCTTGAACATGACAATGAGTTCACTGTACTCAAATGGCCTCCACAGTCACCAGATCTCAATCCAATAGAGCATCTTTGGGATGTGGTGGAACGGGAGATTCGCATCATGGATGTGCAGCCGACAAATCTGCGGCAACTGTGTGATGCCATCATGTCAATATGGACCAAGCTCTCTGAGGAATGCTTCCAGCACCTTGTTGAATCTATGCCACGAAGAATTGAGGCAGTTCTGAAGGCAAAAGGGGGTCCAACCCGTTACTAGCATGGTGTACTTAATAAAGTGGCCGGTGAGTGTATATATTTTTTTCAGACTAAAATATGACATTTTTATCATACTATACTAGGACATTTTTCAATAAACTATACTATAATTTGTTTTCATACGCAAATATTATTTTTAATGCCAAAATATGTTTTTTTTATTTCACGTCAAAATGTCTATCTACCCAGAATAACCCTCTAACGAGTCTATGCAGCATCTACAATCATGTGTCATTGGTACCTAGTATTGAGAAGTACAACCTCATACAACCCCGCTTAAAAGAAACCAAACCATCTCTTCAAAGTACGACCATAATCCATATCATAAGAAAGAGCCGTCAGCAGCTTATGTTTGGTGTCATCTTCCTGGAAACAACCATGCAGAAGTGTTTGAACTGAAATCTGAAAAGTGCTCACAGGTTCACTGTTTTAAAAGAGATTTTCACTTCACAGAACTTTGGCTGTAGATCATGTTTAAAGCTCTCCAACATGTTTCAGCTGCTTCTGCTGGACCTCATGTCTTTAGCTCAATTTTTTTTAATAACTCATCACCTATCAGCTGAAGGTGATGGATTTCATTTTCTCTTTGTAGATGGATGAAATTCAGAGTAGTTAATGCGCACAGTATTCAAAGCACATAGACTTTTATTACATTTTTGGCATACTGCATGATTTTTTTAGGACTAAAATGTGACATTTTTTTACATACTATACTATGACATTTTTATCATACTAAACTATGACTTTTTTCATACTAAAATGACATTTTTATCATACTATACTATACTATGATGATTTTTCTTACTCAAATATGATTTTTTTTTCACGCTAAAATATGATTTTTTAATCTACTATTCTATTACATTTTGGCATACTGCATGGTTTTAAACTGATGTAAAGCAACCTATTACAACAAGACAGTCAAAAATATCAAAATAAAAGCATGACAAATGATTTTTTTATCATGTTTTTTTTAGGGAGTTAAAGTCACAGGGCTGCTGATTGAAATAAATCATAGCTTCAGAAATGGATGGTGAGTAAGTTAACTGTATTTATTAATTGTGTGCTGGGATGGGATGGTCATGCTAGTGAGGCTCATGTTGTGTAACCACACGATAGCCTTACAGGATAAGAGCTGTGTTCTTGACCTGTAATTTTCTCTGCATTGTAAAGACGTCCCATGAGACCTTCAATGTTCACTCTCTTGATATTTTCTAACATCTCCACCCTGTAATTCATACTGTTGACACACATTCTTTAAAGTCGTACATGGTAATGATGTTCAGTTTTATATAGGGGATCAGAAACAGAGTATGTGTTTGATGTATAACCCAGTGGGAAAGACTCACCCGCAAAGATAAGATGGGTATTGAATCCAGAGGCCTTTTGTGTGTTTTACCTCTGAGAGCACAGGAAAGATGGAGACACATGAGTGGCTGAGTAAGAGGATAAACAGCAGGTGTTGCACTCAGAGTGTTTTTTCTCCCACCTGTCTCACCTTCCCCACACAGACAACAGCATCATGTTTCAGGAAGTGAAGAAGTGGCCTCATGCTGATTAAAAACCTCTAACCTGCACGTCTACCCTCATCTGTCCTCTACACCTCCCGTCTGTTCACCTGCCCACGTCCTGCTGACTGCTGAGCCACTCTTTCATCACGGCCCATCTTCAGCTTTTTAATCTCTCTATTCGTTCACGTGGGATTAAAGTTGCCAAGCGGGAGATGAGGATGGAAAAGATGCTGCTGTCTCTTCTGTAAATGAAAAGCTGGAGGTGAGCGGAGGAGCAAATCCATCTTTTATGGACCTCCCTCTGTGACAGGCATGGATTAGCTGGTCACAATACAGAGAAGGACAGAGCAGGACAACAAAGGATGTTATCAAAAGACTCAGAGCCAGAGTTCAAATTACACTCTGACAGGTCCAAAGTGTTATCTGTAATATGCTTACACAAAAAATGAAGTTTCAACTTCATCGATGTACATTAAGGCTACTATATGATCACGTAACTGTGGTAAAGTTTACATGAACAGCCTTTTATGCACACATCAGCGACTCACAATAAACAGAAGCAGAGCTGAGGACTCAGGAGTAAAAGAAAGAAGAAAAGACTCTAGATGTACTCAGGGTTTGAACACTTTAAGGCCATTACATCTATGATCTACTTCAACACTGCTGTGACAGTTTTATCACCTACATTAAGGGGGTCATGCTTTCAATGCCATTTATCTGTTTGTCAGCTGAATAAAAGAAAAGCGGCCAACCTGGTTTTCACAAAGGTTATGGTTTTGAGGGAGAAAT